GGCTCATAAATTAGCTTATCCTTCATAAAGTACGTGTGTTAAGTAAATTGCCCCTAAAATAAGTTTGTGCTTTTTAATTATTGTATTATTCCAAACTTAAATTTGGTAAAATCTTATTAGAAATAAATAAATTTAAACTTGTCCAATTTTTTTGTTTCAAGGGTTTGATATCAGTCTCAAATATGCTTCATATTTTTTTTTTTTTTTTTTTTTTTTGAATAACCGCGGGTCTTCTAAAGACTTCCTAGACCCAAAGACTAATCTCATAAGGCTGGCAATTCTCCTAACCTGCCAGTGGCCGTGCCTCGAACCCTGGTGGCGGAAGTCACAGCTGTGACCCTTTAAATCGTTTCATGTTAATATCTAATATACTTCATCCTGACTTGGAAGTAAGTTTTGTAGTGAACGTCAAACATGATTCAACAATTTGCTTAATTTCCAAGTCCAATTTGAAGCTATCGGAATCATCTATTTCCTTGAGTGTAATCTTTTACTCGAAAAAACATAAATTCATTATACACTTTTTTGAGGTATAAAATTTCCGGCAAGATTCTACATTTTCGCTTTTCACATATGACTCATTTGTCCCACGACTCTTAAATGATCATCACACGCTTTAACTATTCCGGCGAAAGTGGACTACTCTCTATATTCCGGTTCCAGCAAAACAAAAAACAGAACAAAGAAGAATCCGTCGAATTTCAATTTAATTCCATTAAATGTATCATGAAACCTCTCGATTATTTACAAAATCCATAAACAAAAAAATAATTAATATAAATTTGATTGAGATTAATGAAAATTGTTTCACATTCTTTGAGGGAGAGAGAAATGGTTCATTGACCTGTGGTTTAATCTCAATCCTCGTCCTCGTCATGGTTAACTTTCGCCGAACTCAATGTTCTACACGGTTGTGACGGCGGTTGCTGCGGCGGTGGCGCATCGACCACAAACGCCGACGACATCTCCATTTGACAAACCCTAACAGCTCCGATTAATCTCTCCGGCAACTCCTCTTCCGTATGTGCCTCCGCTAAGAACCCCATATCGATCGTCACGCTCGTCACGTACCCTAAAGCTAGCCGGAGGATCGCCGTTGCGATCGCCGAGCTGCTAATGTCGACATCGATTTCAAAGTAGTTGGGACCTCTGTGGTAATTGCACGTCAAGGCTTTACCTAGAAGACAAGCGCTATAGTTCCCCACCGCGGCTTTAACTACCCAAGGACCTTTCACAATCCGATTCACGATTTTGAATCTCTGGTTTCGGAAAGCGTCATCGCCGTTGATGAACCGGTGGAGAAGCGAACCGGAAGGAATCGGTTCCTCCGTCGCGAAGTAAAACACGGCGCTGTGATGATCTTTACCCGGAATCTGGAGATTCACGGCGAAGATGAAGCTCTTAAGAGATTGACCGCGAGATTGAGCTTTTCTAAGCGCGTGAGCCACACGATTATCGGGACGAGCGAGCACGTTCTCGAGTTTGGTACTTGATTTGAGCCAGTCCATACCGGCGGGAGAGAAGAGGTAATCACCGGCGGGAGATTTTTGTTTTTTGGTCAAGTAAGAATCGGAGCGGAGAGAGAAAACGTCGCCGGGAGGAGAAGCCCAGCCGTCGGTACCTGTATCGGGATCTACGCGACGGAGAGATCCGCCATTGGTTGATTCGGTAATCCATTCCGGTATGGCGGAGGATGAACCGGATCTGACCGGTTTTGACTTGTTTTCTCCGGTTGAGCTACGATGTCGCTGCTTGGAAGGGCTCATGGTTTATTGTTGGTGTTGTGTGGTCGTTGGGTTGGCCCTTCTCTCTCTCCAAAGACGACTTTGTGTGGTGTGACAAAATAAGGGACGGAGGAAATGGCTTCGGAGTTTTATAGAAAACTCCAATAGTACCATTGGGCTTGGCTTATCTGTATTTCATGTGTTTTCTTCTCAATTAATGACGATAATTATGTGAGATATTTTACTTCTAATAAATCAGTTGCAAATCAACGCCGTGGGGATTATTGATATTTTCTTCCTATAAAAAATAAAGATGTGTTCTTCTTTTACATTTTTGACAATTTTCAGGTTTTCTTGTATTTTTGATTGGTGAATAGTTTGCATAGAACTGGAGGAATAAATGGTGAAACCACGTGTTAAACCAACCAATCATAATTATTGCATTTGGCCGTAGCCACGAACAACTTTTTGTCGACATATTATCATTAATCTTTAAAACACAGGAAAAATACAAGCTAATTAGTTGGTGGAAATGTCATGCATTGGCATTTCTAGCTGGTTATCAATAAAAATACACAATTACGAATTATTAAGATATATATTCTCTATCTCTCTCTAATTTTGGTTGCTTTTCATCATAAAAGTTGCCGGTAAAGGTACAAAAGTACAAACAACGTTCCGCGTAAGAAAAGCGTTAAAATAGATAAATATCTGTATCAACTGGAAAGTTTTTCTAAATAAAAAAATTGGATACTAAAGATGAAAACAGTGTCACAGGCAGGACAGATATATGGAAGGTAGTAGAGACAATCAAACATTGGATATGCAGTTAAAAGACTAGACACTACGAGTTTAGGCAGTCAATGGATGAATCTATATCAGCAAATTCAAGCTTTAAATAAGAGTTGTCACATAATAGCAAACAAAAGTAAGACCAAAAAAACTACATTCCACAAGTCAAGAGGCAAGGACAAAGGCAAAATTAATGAACTGGTTAAAGAAACATGAAAATGAGAATAAACTAAGCAAATGAAAAGGCTTGATTTTTGTGAATAAATCACATTAAGATCTTCTAAACTTGAGATGAAAAGGGATTCTTTTATTTATCCCCAATTTTTAATCAAGCAAAACTTATACAACCTATACAATGCCACATTGTGATCTTTGTTTTAAAAGCTGACTACTCAATACCATTCCCAGCCAAATAAAATGGTTTCCGGAGACATTTTCTACCCTTGGTTACACCTTCTAGTCGCTTCTCTTGCCCCTGCAATAGGATCTTGGTTAGATCCTATACTTAATAGTCATCAACGACCAACTAACATGTCAACAACACACAGACAGAATTAGCTAAGCTGATGTAGCATTAGACAACTCTTTTTCTCTCTTTTTTAAGAAGACTTATCACAGGACAGCAATGGTAATACGTTAATAGTCTTCGACACGGAATGAGACTCAAAAGTGTTACTGATAGTAGTCAAGAACTAAAAACACAAGCGTCACGACAGCTCAAGACTACAATTAAACCATCAAGCACAAAGAAAAACACTTGGATTTGTTTCAATTTACTGGCCTGCAGACTAAAAACATACACTAGTGTAATGAAACAATGATTGAAACTTTTACAAATTTAGAAGAACATGAAAACTGCATAAAATCTGGTATAAGCTAGAACATTGGTGAAAACAAAACTAGTGAGCAGATATGATCCCAGAAATAGGTAAACATTTCCGAAATCCTCCTCATAAGCGACAAAACCAATGATCACAAAACCCCAACTAATCGCAAATATCAGATCGGAAGCAAATCCACTAACTGTTGAAATTTCAGTACGACCGTAATTCAGATTACGAACCTATTCGATGTTTCTTCAGTGAAATTTGCCTCTCTGACTCTGAGCTCGACGATCAGTGGCCAATCTGTAAATCCAGTAACCCTGCGAGCCCCAAGAGATCAACCATTCGAGATCAGAACATATTCAAAGAGAAAGAGAAAAAGTAATAAGATCACGGGAAGTAGTACCAAGGCGATGACATGAGCTGCGGCGAGGAAAACAACCAAAGCCGGTACTAGATCCAGAAACCAAGGTCGTAAGTGCTGCTCCTTCGCCATGAAAGAACTAATTCTTGATCTCAAAACGGATCGGTTGGGTTTTGAATTCCGCCGGCGACGAGAAGCAGTAACTATGACAGCGAAGTGTAATGGGGTACTCGTGAGACTTGTCACACTCTTTCTCCGATTGCAAGTTTTTTAGCTGCTGTTTGGCAGTTGGAGTAGACTTATCCCTACTCCAGTCAAGTTGAAAACAATAGGCCCATTAGCCCAATTGCCAATAATTAAAGGTACATCTGGACTGGTGAAGGACCCACGTGATACTACTCCACTTGCTTTACGTGACACGTGTCAGCATCTCAAATTCGGGTGGCTCCTTGTACTTTTTCTCTATTTTTAGCAAATGAATCCATTTGTTCGCCGGAATATGCTCCCTTCTCTTAACGTCGATCACCTGTTTTCTCTTCCTTCTCTATTTTCTCAAGTAGGAATCAACCTTGAATCTCCCATCTTCTTCTCTCCGATCATTCTCACTTCTCTCTTCTAATTCTTTCATGGAATTTTGAGGTACGCTTTTTCTTTTTCATTTTGAAAATGTTTATGATCGATTCTGTGTTTCCGAAATCGTGATTGCTGATATCGATCTCGTTTCTCGTTCAATTTTAGGTTAGACGAACATTCCGGGCATATTATCTGTTGATTCGAAGATTAGAGTTTGAAATTTCTGAAGAAATATGGGATATCTGGACTTGGCCTTGTCGTATTCCAACCAGCCGCAGACTGTTGACGCTCCAGCGAGCGGAGGGGGTCTCAGGTCGTTATTAATCTCAACTCGATTTTAATCTTCAATTCTTGGTTGTTAGTAAGGAACCAATAGCTATGTTGGATTCGATTTATCTCATTGGTTCATGAAGTGCGACTTTTGGTGTGTTAAATGTTTATTGTGCTTTGTACATGATAATATGATATGATTCAATTTCAGCCAGAATGGAAAATTTAGCTATGGATATGCAAGCTCAGCTGGGAAGAGATCATCTATGGAAGACTTTTTCGAGACTAGGATCGATGGTATCGATGGAGAAATCGTTGGTCTCTTTGGAGTTTTTGATGGTATCTTCCCTTTCTCTTCTTGACAAGAACTTATACATTACTCTTACGAAACTTAGTATCGTCGGTTTTATTTAGCCTGGTTTATCATAGTTCACTTGTGCCATGAGTCATGACATTAAGTATTGGTCTCGGTGCTAATTAACTTCGAGCTCTCATTGTTACGGTAGCTTAAAGCTTAGTATTGACATTTAGAACAGGAAATTGATGATGTTACTTACTGTGTTTCCAGGCCATGGTGGAGCCAGAGCAGCTGAGTACGTGAAGCGTCATCTTTTCAGTAATCTGATCACCCACCCAAAGTTTATCTCTGACACCAAATCAGCTATAAGTACTGTCAGAAAACACACGAGCAATGTTGTTTTTTGATATAATTTGTTGTAGATGCAGCGCTCTAATTTACATTGCATTTTTTTCAATGTTTCCAGCTGATGCCTATAACCATACAGACTCAGAACTTCTTAAGTCAGAAAATAGTCACAATAGAGATGCTGGTTCGACTGCGTCTACAGCTATTCTTGTTGGTGACCGTTTAGTTGTTGCAAATGTTGGTGATTCAAGAGCTGTTATCAGCAGAGGCGGAAAAGGTAGTCTTAAGGACCTTAAGATATCGGTTATGACTCTCTTGGTGTATATCATTGTAATGTTAAGTAATCAATATCTGTGTATGACACAACCAATACCATATAGTATCCTAATAGATAATGCCTTTTTTCATAAATCTGTCCCTTGCAGCCATTGCTGTTTCAAGGGACCATAAACCTGACCAAAGTGATGAACGTGAAAGGATTGAGAATGCTGGTGGGTTTGTGATGTGGGCAGGTAAGTAACAAGCAACTATATGATTATATTTTCTGCTTCATGCTTTTCCCAACCTATAGTCCTAAATAGGGGTATGTGTTTCATTCATAAACTAAATAGGAACTTGGAGGGTTGGAGGAGTTCTTGCAGTTTCTCGTGCGTTTGGTGATCGGCTTCTGAAGCAATATGTTGTTGCTGATCCAGAAATCCAGGTATTTTCAGCACTTCTATAAGAACCACATTGCATAATCTTTTTGACCCCTTTTGTTCTCCAGCTGAAATTTTTTTCAAACTCTTTTCATTGAATATAGGAAGAAAAGATTGATGATTCGCTTGAGTTTTTGATCCTAGCAAGTGATGGACTGTGGGATGTTTTCTCTAATGAGGTCTGTGAAGTTAATAGCTTCTTTAACATCTTCTATTTCCTACTCCAATACTTTAATTATAATGTTTGATCATATTTTGCAGGCAGCAGTTGCAATGGTTAAGGAAGTTGAAGATCCAGAGGAGTCAGCGAAGACACTTGTGGGTGAAGCAATAAAGAGAGGAAGTGCAGACAACATCACATGTGTTGTCGTTCGTTTCTTGGAAAAGAAGACAGCTTCATCAAGCCACATTAGCTCATCCTCCTCCAAGGAAGCCAATGAAATGCCGCCACTTGGAGACCTCGCTATCTCATCCAATGAAGCTACCCAAGTCCAAATCGACTCAGAGAATATCAGCTCAGGGAACAAACCAGAGAATGTAACGAATCGAAAACCTGTCCCTGCAAGCAGCTTAACCGATGAAGTGACTGTTAATGGTTTAGGGAATAAACCAGGGAAAACAGGGAATCGAAAACCAACTGATGCAGTGACCGACAAGGTATAAGTAGCGATTCCCTCTATTCTCTAGGAACAAAAGCGTTATCTTCCCTCAAACACGGCAAACAAACTTACTGATCGTTGATCTCGTTTGTATTTACTATTTAGGATTGAAGATGTGTATTTACGAATGTTTGTGTGTATATAATATACATGCATCGATTTTTGTATTTGTTTATGTGTAAATGTTTAAAAGTTCATGATAGTTTATTCAGAAAATAAAATAAGGTTTGCGTTTGACATTTTCATCTAGGTTTGTGTTTGCAATTTGTAAATATATTACTTTATCAAGAAATTAGGAATGTTGTGTCTTTTCATTATCAAACAAAAGTTGTTTTCAAAGTTAATTGTAAGTTTTAACCATCAGACAACACAAAAACAGTGAAAAGATTCAAAGATACACTAACTGTTTTTAGGCCAAATTCAGATTCAAAGATACACTAATCGCCAGATTTTTTCTTGTGATCATCACTCTGGCCTCTCTGACACTTCTTCCTCCTCTCCAAACTCTGAACCAAGTCCTTCATGGTCATGGGACATGGATCCATCGACATCGGTTTCATTGTTCTTGAACTTTAATTTCTCTGCGACATCACCAGCTAGAGCAATCTTTGTTTCACTAAACAGATGATGAGTATCAATCAAGATGAGATCCAAGTAGTTCTTGGCAAGTGAATGAATTAAAATTGTCAAATTTGCGTGGCCTCCACCCATATAGAGGAAAAAGCCTATTTCTTGGAAATTAGGCAAGTGGCATTCTCGTTCTCGTAAATTAAATGGTTCTTAGTGAATGAAAGTGAAACAAGAAGAATTCTACTGAAACGGAGCGAGCCAGGCCATACATCTAAGGTCAATTAGAATGTAAGCCCAACTAACTTGGGCCCAATTTAATGATCTCGCGTTGAAGCCACGCGCGGCTCTCGTGGCTTCCCATGGGTTCGGATCCTCGGGTCAGGGTCTACGTGGCACTTTTGTAAGAGGCGACGTGTTCTCTTTTCGACGTTTTGCCTCTGTTTATTTTGGCCGTGAGCTCCTCCATTTCCATTTCCATTTCCATCGCCATCGGACTCTCTTTCTCTTACTAATTTTCATTTTTGTTAGCTCTCTTCTCTACGTCGAATTGCCTTTTTTGTCTCCTGCTCCGATTCGAAAATGAGGACAATCGTCTCGCGTTTGATTCGTTACAAATCGTCTCTTTCCCAGATACGGTGAGTGGTCTCTTCCCCAGCTCTTTAGTAACTCTGATCGGTCCTTAATCGTCTTCTAGGCATCAATTGGTAGGATGTTGAAGGAAATAAGCATTTTATTTTGGTAATTTCTCGTAGCTAGGTTGGTCTCATGATCTAGATTCTTAAAAATTAAGTGATTTGAGTTGTAATTGAGTATTACTTGACTTAGCTTTATTGTTCTGTACTTATGGATTATGTTGCATTAGGTTTGCTTCTGCCTCTGGTGGCGGGAGGTATCTCTCGACAGACTCTAACAAAATTGATGAGCCCTTCAATGTGGAAGAAGCTGAGACTGTACATGTGCCGCCACCTCCTACTGAGAAGGTATGCGTTTTGGGCTGATTATTTGTAATGATATTGCAATGATCTTGGAAATTATCTTTCCTTCTTTTGTCAGCTGCTTGTTTTGGGAGGTAATGGTTTTGTGGGATCACATGTCTGTAAAGAAGCTTTAGATCGCGGCTTAAGTGTCTCTAGCCTTAGCAGGTATCTAAACTTTGATTCTAGGGAGTTAACTCCTGTCTAAGAACAAATGCTATTTGGTTTACATTTGTGGCTTACAGTTAAAGCGTCTCGTTTAACGAAATCTGATCTATGTTAGATGTTGATTTACGTGTTTGTATATAACCATTTGTATGGGTTTTAGGTCAGGTAAGTCGTCTTTACAAGAGTCCTGGGCTTCCAGAGTAACATGGCATCAAGGTACTGTTCTTGTTAACTTTTCAACATTTTTGTAGCAACTTGGTATTTTTTTTCCGGTGTGGTCATATTCTTTTTGTATTTCACTTTTGTTTCCAGGAAACCTTCTTTCATCTGATTTATTGAAAGATGCTCTGGACGGAGTGACTTCTGTGGTATGTTCTTTTTTTCTCAATTTTCAGTAATAATGTAGAAATTTGATAATCGCTACAGATTTTTACTTATTGAAGCACTGCTGCTTTTGTCAATTGTACATTATTGGAAGTAATTGGGGATAAATCATTGCAGATTTCTTGTGTTGGTGGTTTTGGTTCAAACTCATATATGTATAAGATTAACGGGACTGCAAACATCAACGCAATTAGGGCTGCCTCAGAAAAAGGTACAAGTTCTTTTAGTTTGCATTTACCAGGGCTGTATAAAATGTTTACAGTCTAATTCTTTATGATAGCCATGTATATTAGCAGGACATATATTCGATTAGCAAGTGTTTACTGGCAATATAATTGTGTTTCCTTTGTTGACCAGGTGTTAAAAGATTTGTCTATATTTCTGCTGCGGATTTCGGATTAGCCAATTACTTATTAAGAGGATACTATGAGGGAAAGGTGATCATATACTTTTCAAACTACAGCTATTTCATAGTCGTTTTTGGTTAGTATACTGTGTCTTGAGAAATTTTATTTTCATCCTTACAGCGAGCTGCTGAGACCGAGCTGCTCACAAGATTTGCATATGGAGGTATAACCTTCATGTTACATCTACGAAACTCTCTCTGAAACTTATCCGTTTTTTACATTTGAAGTTTTGGTGAATGTTGTGCAGGTATAATCTTGCGACCTGGTTTTATATATGGAACTCGCAGTGTTGGGAGCATGAAGATCCCATTGGGAGTCTTTGGTTCACCCATGGAGATGGTAAGAGATCCCATCTTTATTGCAATATCCCTCAAGATTGCCTCTTTATTCATAATGTTTGTGGCTTTTTGTAGGTTCTTCAACAAGCAAAACCTTTGAACCAGCTTCCGTTAGTCGGACCTTTATTCACACCTCCGGTGAATGTTGAATCGGTTGCAAAAGTCGCAGTTAGAGCAGCCACTGATCCAGTGTTCCCTCCCGGGATTGTGGATGTCCATGGAATACAACGTTACAGCCAACAGAAATCGAGATAAGTCCGTTTTGAAAAGCTTGAGTATGCTCAATGTCGTTTTGTAGAGTTTGGCTGCTTTTAGTATTCTGCTGGATTCTAATGGTGGGAACAAAAATGTTTTCTTGTTGTTTCTCTCGCCAGAAATTTCCCACAAATAAGTAAAGAAGAGAAGCTTTTTTTTTATTATTGAACTATACATCTCTAAAGAGAGGAAGCTACTTAGTAGCTCTCCAAAACTTTTTTCCTACACAATTTATATACAAAACAACCACTTAATCTACAAAACACCAAACTCTGAAATGTCAATGCAAATACTGTTGTAAACACTCTCTCAGTTTTTGCAACGTTACAGGTTTCGAAATAAACGAGTCCATACCATTTGCATAACATTCTTCTGAACTCTCTGCTAACGTATTTGCTGTCATCTGCACATTCCACACCAGATTTTACTTTCAGTTTTCTCAAGTTATGCATTAGATCTCTGTGTTTAGTATTCGAAAAAGAAGTACTAACCGCGATTATAGGCAGCCGGTTTGTGGAACGCACACAAACTTGCTCATTCTCCAATGTCTTTATATCTACGCCGGCTTCTATTGCAGCATTCCAGTTCCCAGTTTCTTCATATGAACGGATCAGTCTTGTAGCTTTTAAACCATCCAGAACTGGCATGCACACATCCTGTGAACCAAATTTGAATTATAAGCCTTTTTCAAATTAAGTGAATTTGAAAAGGACAAGTCTTTGGATCTTAGAGAATTGACATACCATGAGTACCAGATCGTAACTAGAGTGATTGATAGCGGTTATGGCTTCAACTCCATTATTAGCAATATCCATGGTATGGCCTAACTGCTTCATCATCGACTTTGCAACCATGATATTGATCTTATTATCTTCCACAAGCAAAATCTTTGGCTTTGATGTTTCTTTTAGATCTGTCTCGGCTTTTTCCTCTTCCCTATGAGATGAAACTGTAAGCTCCGACTCCATTTCTAAGGTTCCACCTTCTGAGCTAGCTTGTGAACTGCTACAAGATTCAGATTCCTTGGAGAAACATCGACCATTTCCATTCTCATATTGGTGAGCTGATTCAGGGCAATGACCAGAACTGGTTTCGAGTTTAGATTCATCCACGTAACCACCGTTTTCAAGCTGAAGCATCTCGCTCTGTCCAGTGTTGTTAGAAGGATCAGCGACAAAACTATTCATGAGCTTAATAGGACTAGTAAGCATGACTTTATGAGGTAAGAAGTCATTGCCGATGCCTGGTCCGCCATTAGAATATATAGATCCTAGAAGCGGTTTAAACTGGAAATATCCTTCAGCTGTATCGTCTGGTTCGGATTGATGATCCGCCATGTCAGAGAACTCATCTTGATCATCTGAATAATCATCTGATGTTCCAACTTTGTAGGGTAATATAAATGTGAACGTTGAACCTTCGTTCACACGGCTTGTCACAGTGAGTTGACCTCCCATTAACTCAACCTGTAAACAAGTATAGAAAGATTAGAATAACAAAGTTCTTTAGTTTCTTTTGTAACGTTGTAAAATCTTTAGTTTACCAGCTGTTTACAAATGGCAAGTCCGAGACCAGTTCCACCGTATTTGCGGGCATGATCAGCGCTTGCTTGCATGTACTTCTTGAACAAACATGGAATAGCGTTTTCTGCACAAGAACACCAAAACATGGACCAGGTTAATATATAGGTTGGTTGGAGTCTTTATCTTTTCATGTTCTTGAGCATTTCTTTATCAGAATTGCTTGCTTGCTTGCCTGGGATTCCAATTCCAGTGTCCCAAACATCACAGCAGATCCAAACTGAAGTCTCGGTCAAACCGTTTTGTTCTTGTTCCTCGGTGTCTGCGGTCAATGTGTTATCCCGCGCAAAGGATGGTTCTGATATCACTTGGAGTTTGATTCCAACATTTCCTTCATGTGTAAACTTGATAGCATTGCTGCAAAACGTTTGAACAAATCAGGAACCGAAACTTGTCATATGCAGATAATCCAGGAATCAGGTAAGAACCTTATCAAATTGGTGAGGATCTGCCGAATCCTTAGAACATCTCCAACTACCTGAACATAAAAAAGGAAAGAAGTTAAAGATCACAAATACTTTACCACATTTAACTCTTTCTGAAATGTGATGTATGTGTACTAACCTCAATAGGAACATCATCTGCAATGTTTCCTTCTAATGTCAAAGATTTCTTCAGCGATGCTGCAGCTGTCTGAAGCACATGCTTGACCACTTCTCTTGGTCGAAACTTTGTAGCTTCTAATTTCATCACACCTAAAAATAACACAGACCAAAAAAGATATATGTAGTCGAGGATCTGAAACAATGACCACACCACAAGATCAAAAGTTTGAAACTAGACAGTATATTGTACCTGATTCAACCTTGGAAAGATCAAGAATGTCGTTGATTAGCTGAAGCACCAAATCCCCAGAAGAGATCATGACATTCAACAACTGTCTCTGCTCTTTATCCAGTCTTGTAGTTGAAAGAATCTCAGCCATTCCCACTACTCCGGATAATGGTGATCTTATCTCATGAGACATCGTCGCTAGCATTTGCTTCGCTCTCATTGTCTCCTCTGCAAAAGAAAAAACACAACACCTAAGTCTAGTTTTCTCATGAATCTTTCTGAGACTTAATCACTTGATTTTTCTGCTTAGCTTTGAACAAACCTGTAATGTGGATGGTCTTGTTCAGTTCTGATTCCATCGCCTTTCTCACTGCGTTATCTTCTCTTAGTTTCGCCATTTTCTCCCTTTTATCTACCTGTAATGCAGGAAGATACAGTGAAGATGTGGAAATGAGAACATAGATTATAGATTTGGTTCAATAATCTTAGCTAACTAACCTGTTCAGTTACTTCCATTCCCATGTAGTTTATACCGATTTTCTCGCCAGCTTTGTTGTAAACAGGCTCAACATATATCAAAAACGTCTTTGATCCGAATAAATCTGTCGTAAATGTGATCTCTCTCTTTGAAGCTTTTCCTTTCTCAAGAACTTCTCTCTTGAAATCTTGAGATTCTTTAACGCCACCTCCGTGGAATATCTCAACGTCTGTTTTTCCCAAAATGTCCTGAAATTAGTAAGAAATAGATTTTGATTCAGACACATTTCCTCATGAGAGTGATCAATAACTCCAGCAGAACAAAAAGTTTTCTACTAACCTGCTCCCGCAAACTAGGATACTTGTTGTAGATAAACAAGTAGCGTAAATCTTTATCCTGAAACCCATAAGTAACAAAGAATCAGAAGTCGAAAAGATCGAAAAAAAGATGAAGAATCACGTTTTTTACTTTACCTGATGACCCATAACAATAGGTGCATTCTGAAGTATGAAATGCAAGAAACCTTCAGCTCTCTCAAGATTCTGAGTTAGCTCTTGGACCGGTGCTGACTGACTCTCCATAGTCTTCAAACTCTCACTCAGCTTCTCGACCAATCTCCTTTCTCTCTCAGTACTCGCCTCAAGCATTTTCTCCAGATTCAACGCCTTCTGTTTCCAATATGCAACCGTGTCAAACTCCTCATAGATCTCAATCTTCTTGCTATCGACCAACGCATCTCGTTTCTTCTGCCTAAACCTGCGGAACAAATCACTCGTCTCATCCAAAACCGGAACATTCTCAGGCTCGTTGCTCTCAAACTTATACTCCTCAATGATCTTCAACTCTTTTGCTTCAGCTTCTTCTCTCTGTCTATTGAGATTCTTAAGCTCTTCTCTTAATAAGCGAACCGCGTTGTCTTGCATATACTCCCATTGTTTCACAAGGTTGGTTAGCTGAGACGAGCCTTGTTGAGTCGAATTCATTAGTTCTGGTAAGCGTGTCAAATCCGCAATGGTGGGTTTCTCTTCAATTGTCACTTCTTTCAACGTGTCTAAATCTCCAGCAGGTTTCTCAACGTTGAACTGTTTGTCAGCTTCAGTTCCAACATTTTCGGGCCACATGGAAGACAAGACTTCGACATCCATTTCCTCAATCTGATCAGTCTCCATTTCACAGACCATTTATCAAAGTTTCTCTTCATGCAACAACAAGACAATGGACTAAACAAATTCAAACAACTTTATCTTTAAGCCAGAATCTTGATCTGAACAAAGAACCTGTATAGACATTTTCAAAAACAGAGATTAGAGTCAGGACAACCCATCTCCATCCAGACTCTTGCTTGATCTGTAAAATATGAAAATAATATACTAAAATTCGAATTTTGCTTAAGGGTCCACAACAACTAAGTGTGTGGACCAATTGTGATTGAACATTAGCGGGAAACTTCAAATTATATGATTCGCAGAGCTTCAAAAAAAATTTGGATGAGTTTCTTTCTTAGATTGAAATATCAACTAGGATCATAAGTTCACCAATAAACGTTAAAATCTGAATTTGATCGGATGAAACATCTTTTCTTCGGAAACCAGCAATGAAAAAAAATCTCGGTGATTTAATGGATCATATATATCTATACGAACTTCACGCATTAAGACAAAATAAACAAATTTGTAATCATGCAATCTCGAGAGTCAAAAGGCTGAAACAGAAAAAAAAAACGAAAGACAAAGCAAAGAAACGAGACTGCGGGAGTACGAAGAGGATTGGATCAGAAGGTTTACCTTCTCCGGCTCGAGTCACCGGAAAATGAAGAAGAAGAAGAAGAAGGAGTGAGTAGATCTGAAGAGGGGTCGAGGTCGTCGGGAGTAGAGTAAATAAAACTTCAAATGAGCATTGGGAAGAGAATCACCAATGAAGAAATTAGAGAGAAGAGCATGTGAAAGATTTGTATTCTTTTCTTTTTTTACGGAGAAGAGGAGAGAAAAACTTGTGAAAGAGCTGAAAGAGAAAGAGAGGACATGTGCTTGCTCATGAGACAGAGAGGTCAATGTATATTATATTCATCTCTCTCTCTCTCTCTCTCACATTTTTAACTTGGACATATATTTTAATGGCGACTCTGTCTGCTCTGCTCTGCTCTGTGTGTGCACGTTTGTTTTCTTTCTCAGACCGAATCCGAGTTTATATCGAATGACACACAGATTGACACGTTTCGATCTGTCTCACAATTCTTCACTGTTCTCTCTGTTAATTGTTAAAAACCATCTCAGATTAGTAATTTCATGATTTAGCCACTTAGTCAGTAAATTGGACTATTCTTTGATAAAACCGTTCCATTAGTTGATTTATACAAGTGAGTTTATTCTACGTAACTAGTCCGACTGACTTCAATTTGTCAGCCAACTAATAAGTTTGTTATAACATTTCCGAAACAGAGCAACTCTCTGTATACCTCATCAATTTAAAGTTGAATAATAATACTAGTATATTATAATTATTATATTTTTGAAAAAAAAACATATATGTATTCGGAAAATGATACTATATATAGATATTTTTGGTGTTAACTAGAAAATGGTATGTTTAGACTCTGTTTTTATTATATTTACGACTAGCTAATATATCTAGTTTTTATAGCTTGATAAATGATTAGTAAATCTTGTGTTGTAAAGTTTTGTATAATATCCGGCTTTTAGAAAATGGTAAATAAATGAGCATAATTATTGTTATTTCTAGTTGTGACAATTAATAACGAATAAATAACGAATGAATGATTTATTTCTTTTTGCCTTTTGTACTACTCATTACGGAAAAAAATGAAAAAATGAAAAAACTATAAAATCATGTGGTTGTATAGTCTATAGAATGTCAATGTTGACGAAAGTACACAAATATTCGAATTGGGTTGGGACATTCATTGTTTCATGAATATCAAAGCACATGTACCACAAATGTATCGTCAATATAATATTAATCACCCAAATCTTAAACTATATTCTACGGTTCAATTTCAGTTGGAAAGTAGTATGATCAATAATTGGAACACCTTGCGCATAAACATTTAAAAAGAAAAAAAAAAACGAAAAAACTAAACAAAATAAATAAGACCCAATCGTCACAATTCAATGGAGCGGACAACAACTGTATTGGCACAAAATTAGTTGTCGAACGAAATCAATCACATTTCTATATAATAAATTTTAATAGTAAAAAATTAGCAACTAGTAGTAGTAGTACACACAATAATAATCAAAATTAATAATAATAAATCAAAGGGTCTTTAAAATTAAATTAAATTTAAGAAAACAGCTAAGCCATTTTTGATGTCTTAAGTCCCGATCTGAACGGCGCTCGGAGGCTTTTGTCCCGTCCGTAAGTGGCTAATAGGAAACATGTGATGTGATTAGGCACATGCCACGTCAGCCTCAATATGACACGTGGAAGTACCGTTGACTAACACGTGGTCTAATTGTTTTCAAACATGTTTCTTCTGTTTGTTTTTGTTGCTCTCGCGCCAAAAAAAATGGACGGTGGTGAAGGATATTGTTATTTTAGGAATTGGAGGACGAAAAGACGAGAATGTGGAGATATTAATTGGATGGGGACACCAATCCTTAAATACCGGATTTGTTTAATTCTCGATTAAAGCAGCTCCATACTTTTCAGCTTTCTTCCTAATTATTTACTACTTAGTATTATTATTATATTATATACATATACATAATAGTACGTGAGTGTAAAGTTGGATTTGACATAATGACTCCTTTAAAAGTTAATATTAGAGAAATTACACTGATAAAAATACTTATTTTGATTTACCATCTCACGAACTCCTTGGACTAATCCATCACGGAAATAAAAAATAATGTAGTGTTTGCATATGATTAAGTTAAAATCTTGTAAACTGGTTGTCGATTTATCGAAGTCAATAGTTGGGGGGTATAGAAAGATTCTTGTTATGAACGACTCGGTGCCATATAGATTTATTTGTTACTCTCATTAATATTATATAATAATTTCCGATTGAACATGTCATACGTGAATCTCTTAAGAGTAACATACAAAATATGTTTTTAGTTTTCAGCAAAATAAATAAAATAAAGATTGATGATAAGATGACATGGTGTTTGAGAGGTTCTATTAGCTAGACCATAATAACACTTGGATTAGTATACTTTTAGTCGATTACTATTATTTGATACTTTCTTGGTTCCATTATTTAAAAAGGGTTCAAATAAAATTCGATAATCTATCCTGAGTAGGGCCCAGGTCAGAGTTTTTTTTATGTTTATTATTTCTGACAACGAACTTTTCAGTGTCTTAATCATATGTTCCAATAAATAAATCACTCAGGAAGATAGATCTAAAGTAAATGTACTGTTTTTTTTTGGTTGTATAAGAAAGGAAAAAGTGTACACTCTCTTATGTACATCTGAAAATATGATCCAAAATCTGATAGTCCGGCCATAATCTAGAGAAGAATTTAAGTTGATGTTTCTTTGTGTCACTAATTCGACTATATTTATATTTATATTTAGTATATTCAAATATATTATTAAAAGAAATTAATTGATAAATCTCACTGAAAATACAAAAAAAAATATTCCGCCAATTACAAACCCATTTGAAATCGTTTATAAAGTAAAAATCATTGAAACAATGAAAATATTTTTCATTTATCATAAGTTTTATGAACATAATCTCTTGAATTTTTGATAATGACAATTGATGGGGGAAGGAACAACAACGAAAATCAGTGATGACTCTAAAGTTTTTGCATGGATGGATTTGTGGAAAGATAATTCTAAGTGGCTAACACAACTCCGGGATTCCTTACCATCACCGTAATTTCATATGTGGTAACATACTTTTAGTTTTATATTGCCTTTTATATTTACAATTACTTCAACTAGGATCTTTAATATGAAAAATAGCTAATGGTGGACCAACAAAACAAATGTATATCTATAACTAGGTTCGAGATAAGTTTAGATTTCCGACTTTTGACTTTCAAATGCGTAAATTCATGAAGAATATGAATGAACCATGGTTTGCCCATAGAGAACAAAACTTCATAAATTTGTTTCTGTTTCGAGCATGAACATTTCCAATTAGTAATAATAGTCTAATAATCGATGAAGCAGCACAATTTAACCGGAGCAGAATAGCAGACCAAAATCCATTCTGTAAAAAACTCTTCTTCGTAGCACTATTTTAACAGTCTGGAACAAGGATCAATATCAAACATCATACAATGAAGCAGCTGAGAGAAATAGAAAGTTTGCACACAGCTTCAGCTTTTAGCTTGGACTTCTCTGAAATAGTTGCTGAATTTCATTCGGCATGTTCTGCATAATCTCTGCGTATGCTGAAATAAACAAAAAAATAAATAAACCGTAAAAACATAACTTAAACAGATCGTTATTTAAACTAGAAATACCTTCAGGTAGTGATTGGATCCGGAAAGCATCCTCGGCAAATGATAAACGCACAGGGATTGGTTGACTTCCAGGGCTTGTACACTGTTTCTTCGACTGATGATGATGCATTGGCCAAACTAGAATCCTCACTTTTGTCGGAAGTTCACACAGAAGATCTCCATATCTAAGGCTCACCACGAATTTGCTTCAATACAAAACATATTTGTTTTTTAAAAAGGCTATAAAAACAGAATCTTATGTGGCAACAAGGTCACATCAATATCTAGTGTAGCAGCAGTTAAGAGGAAGCATATGGATCTATGAAATTGCTAACCAGTCACAATCATCCATGGAAAATTCAATCATGTGGTAAGGAAGACTGTGATAAATCTCACTGATCTGATTTCCATAGAGCTCTTTGATAACCCGGACCTACAATAAAATCAGGAGAAGCATCCTGGTTAGCTTGTGAAAATTTACGAGCATATTTCACCGACAGTGGTTATAACAACACACCCAGTATACTCACACCAGATTACTTGGCCCAGTCTTTCATTTTCATTATAAAATAAATACATCTAAAAATCAATTAATATCCTAATCTAACAAGGTTGATGATACATTAGTGCTGAAATTCTCTTACTCCAAGTTAACGGGTCACATGATTTTAGTTCCATTTTCATTTCTATCTAGAGATCATGTTGATGCATTTTTGACTGAGAAACAAATCGAACAAGAAGCCAGAAGTCATAACCCAAAAGAACAATTTAAAAGGCCAATCTGACAAGCACAATCTAAGTTTGATCATCTACTCATGATCTAGATTGTTGACAAACCTGTTCCTTTCTGTCCACATATGCTTGCAGGAGATCCCCAACATTATCGATGAATTTCTGGCACCCAAAAATGTTAAACCAAAAAAATATAAGAAACAAAGAAGTAAGAGGATAAACTGAAGATCAGGTGAAACAACGTCACAACAAGTTGAATCACGGTAACAGATCCAGCAATCATGCCTACCTTAGCATTCGAACAAAGAAGATCATTTTCCAAGTCACGTAGTGGCAAAAAGAAAGGAATTGTGTGCTCAAGTACAATCATCTTCTCCAAAAACGACTTGCTCTCAAGCACACAGTGGAAAACCTCGTAAGTTTCTCCTATATGAAAACGGATTAAATTATCATATACAGGGAGAGGAAAAATTAGGAAAGTCCTAGTCTCTTCATTTACATAGATGTATGGAGACAAAACAGCTAACTCTCTTTCAGTGACACGCCAGAAGGTAAAAACCCTCTGAAGAAAAAAATCGTTATAATGACTGCCAATAATTTTTGGTAAACCAAAACACTTGGAACTTGTGACAAAATGCCAATTACAGTTCAAAATACCTGCAATTGGTGTTTCATACTGTATTCCAATTCTCGATCCATCTAGGCAACATATCACCTGTTTGATAAAAACACCAAATAATAAGAAAAAAACGACCTGGTATCAATTCAAAGTGAGAGGTCACTCTAAACTTATAATTAGCATGGTGTCAGCCATTCTTCAACAAAGATATACAAGTATACAATAATATAACCAAGATTGGTCTGGTTGGATCTATCATTTAGGCAAACATTGCATCAGCCAAGATGAATGAGCAAAACTATAGGTTTCCTTTGGACTCTTTCTACAGCCATATGGTTTTATGATGTGGTTTCTAGTATATCTTTAGTGACAGAAGTAGTCTTCTTTGCGGGTATCTTGAAAGAATCATGGTAAAATCTGTGCTATCTAGACTTAGATAAGGCTTACAACAACAGACCTTGGGTACAAACAAAATCAATTTCTCTACAGAAAAAATTTGGGAATGTATGACCTCAGGAGTACCTTATTTCCCACTCTGTAAGTAACTCGTTCTTCAGGATGACAAAGTAGTGCAAAACCTACATTACCGTTATCTGCCTTTCTGTCAGCTTCCATATGCACCTACACAGTTCATGGTCAAGGTTCCGGAAAAAGTCAATAAAACCAACGGATGAAAAGAAAAAGATTTCATAACACAAAGAAAATATAACTCTTTTTATCAGAACGACATAATAAATCTAGATCTGCCCTTATTAAAGTGTCTACTAAGTCCTCAACCAGATACCAAGGCCTGGAAAACCTCTTTTAAGTACACAATGATGTTGACAAAAAAAAATATACAATGATGGATGCCATACCCGTTCCCTCAGCGTGGCCAACAAACCATCATTCCACTCTTCCCCATCTAAGAAGACTTCTGCAGAGGATAGGAGCAAATACAGCATTTGGTTAAAATAGATACACGGCTGAGCAAATACTTATGAAGCAAAAATACAGTCACACAGATAATTCGTCCAATCCTGCAATTCAGCTATCCATACCCACCCTGACTTTGGGATCTCCGTGCAGCTTCAAACTCTTTGTTTAACCGATCTAATATTGTCTTATCAGAATCCCTAAAATGAATGATCACCAAATACAAAGTTAGCAAACAAAAAGATCGAGAAGTGAACTATATAGTTCAGAAGCATATTTCATACCTAGTAAGACGGTCTGACAATTCTCGATGCCTCTTGAGAAGATTTGACACTAGGAAATGAGCATAGAAATTGATTAATTATTAGTTTATTACCAAAAGCTTTACCAAAAAAAAAAAGGGATCTGAACCACAAGAAAAGCTGTTACTCACATCTTGCTCGTGTTGAATCCAGTCGGATATCTTGGTCCAGCGAAACAATCTATTTGCAACAAAAGCAAATGTTGCGGAATCTGCCTTTTCAAGGTAACAACAATTGGAAAAAGGGAAAACGAAACTGAAAGGGCGTGTTATCTACCATTTCTCCCATCTATGCTTTCAGAGAGTTCCCAGTTGACCAAGCTCCTGCCAGAAAATAGAGAAGTTGATTATCAATCTGTACACAAAATTTTCAATTTTCATACATCACATATAAATCAGTGAGTATTTCCAACTCATTTTCCTACGAAATTTAACATATTCCTAAAATTTGCAACCTGAGAATCATTTAGAAATAGAAAGAGTAGCTCATCAGAGCTATAACAACACCATATAAAAGTCCCCAAACCTGAAAGAATTGTCAAAATATATGATTCAAACAAATTGCAACAGCAAAAAACACGAATGATAGCAAAACCCTAAAGCGACCAAATCAACAAAAGTTATACTCCAAAAATCGTACCGGCGGCAAAATTACGATTTCTGCTCAGATATAACACACGAAAACGAAACCAAACAGAAACGAGGATGATTTAGAAACCCTATCATGCCTATAAGCAGAGCTTGTTTCAGGAATTTACAGCTAATTTCGCGCAGCAGCCTCAAGTATGGAACAAAGAGCAATAACTCTAAAACCAAAAAAATGGAAGAAGAAAAGAATAATTACTCAACGACGCAGACGAGTAGAGATGATAACAGATCAGATTGGCGGTGAGAGATGGTTTAAGCAGCGCCGGATAGTGTACGGACGTCGGAATGTTTTGATTTCGCTCGGAGAGATCATAAAATCTCAACCGCGAAAAGAGAGAGAGTTAAATCAGGAAAATGAGAAGCAATTTATCTGGTTTGGATTTCGAGCGAACGAAATAACCGGTTTGGTTATGCCGTTTAAGTGATAAACCAGACTTCCCTGGGTTTGATTGAAGAAAGAAACATCAGAAAATAACTGGGTCTTCTAAAAGCCCATTAAGAAAAATATTATCCAATAGCAAAGTCCATATGGCGAGCGCCGTCATCTCCGCAGCGTTTCGACTCCCGATCATTACCCGACGACTCTCTGCTCCGGCGCCGCGAATTAGGTTTTCTCATTCCACGATCCGAATTGCTCATCCCCGAAGATTCACAACGGCTTCTTCTTCAATGAGCCAACAGATGGGAGAAATCGGTGCCGTCGTCGATGCTTCCTCCCGTAACGACGAGAACTCGGCGGAGAAACCCGACGACGTCGTGGTGCAGTACGTTGTGCTTCGGCGAGATCTAATTGATTCGTGGCCACTAGGGAGCGTTGTAACACAGGGATGTCATGCGTCAGTGGCGGCGATCTGGTCGTTCAAAGACGATCCGGTCACTCTTCAGTACTGTGATCCGCAGCATATTGATTCTATGCATAAGGTTAATCCGCGAAACCCTAATTTTAGAATTCCCTGGCCGGAATCAATGGTGGATTAAATTAAAAGGTTTTTTTTGGGGGGGGGGGGGGGGATTAGGTGACTCTTGAGGTGAAAGGGGAAACGCAGATGATGAATTTGGCAGAGAAGCTGAAATTAGGAGGAATCTCTCATAAGCTATGGATGGAACAGCCGGAGAATATTCCGACGTGTATCGCTACAAAGCCTTATCCTAAATCTCAAGTCTCTTCTTTCTTCAAAAAGCTCAAGCTTTGCAAGTGATCATTCTTGTTCTCCAAAATCCCAATTTCTTAAAAATCTCATTTTCATAATGATTTTTATATATATACTGAGAACTCATTAAAGAGAAGACATGTTCTTTTCTTTTTCTTACAACGTTTACAAACACGATACACAAAGCAAGTCAGAGATTTGGATATTTACATAATAGAAATGATCTCGTGGGAGGTGGGGGTTTGTTTCAGCCATGGACGATGAGTCGTTTACCGCAAGTTGAACAGATATGGCGACGTTTGGATTTATTAGAGAGAGGAACGAAGCAGAATCTCCACTGGCTATTTACGTCAACCACTTGAACCGCTCCGCCGCAGTAGGGACACGCTCCAGGAGCTGCATACCTTCCGATCACCCTCTCGTCCTTATCACACACGAACACCAAACACATCCCCTTCTTCTTCTTCTTCTTCTTCTTGCTCTTTCTTCTTCTCTTCTAGACAAAGTCAAAAAATGAAATTGTTTCTAGTTTTCTTTTGTTTACGCGTAAAACAAAGGTTGCAGTTTGGATGTTATTTATAAGCATGAGACTACATGGAATTTAAGATATTTGTTTCCGCGTTAAAGAAAAGTTGCAGATACGATCGAAATATAGGGAATCAATGGCTAGAAAGCCACTTTTCAGAAAAAAATGTGCTGGAATGCCACCTTCGTATTTTCATTTTCTTTTACCATTTTTTTTTAAATCAAAAGCTAAGTAAATGTCCAAAAACCCATTGTCAACAACGAAAACTACCAACCCAACCTGAAGTATCCGATTATCCGCTCCAAATTTGATGATCCGAACTGAATCCACACAAACTCACAAAATACTCTTATTTATTTCTTCTTCGTTTCTTCGTCAATTTTCTTCAATCGTTTATTCTTCTTTCCTTTTCTCTTCTTCTTAAGCTCCAAAATCCCCATATCATGAACTTCAATCCAAGAACTACTTGAGTTGAGAGTCGAAATCAGAGTTTCGGAGATCTCGATTGAGATTCTTCAATTCCAAAAGGCTAACATGCACAAAAAGGATCTTCCATCTGATGTGTTGCTTCAGAAGATATCGGAATCTGAAGCGAATAAATTGGTGGATGAGGTTGTGAAATCTCGGAAGCAAGAACTGATTCGGGGAACTCTGAGATCGAAGATTGGATCTGCGGTTTTCATTGCTGAGGAAAGTAGACTGGGGATTGATCGTGTTTGGTAAAGGAGTTGCGTATTACTTTGATTCCAGATGTATATTCGTTGATGGTTTCGGCGGCTCCATATACTTATGACGTCGCTCGTAAGTATCTTCTTCATCTTCGATTTCTGTGTTTTGTTTGTTTTTGCGTAGCGATCGATCTTGGCGATTTTCATTTGTGGTTTGATTTTGAAATTGAATTTGAATTTTATCTTCTGTGTTGTAGCGATTGAGTCATAAGAATGCTGGATTGAATCGGCTTGATGAAGGAACCAAAATTTGTGATGAGATTGGTGTTTGTCTTCACTTATATGATATTAGTCTGATTGGAAGAGATCGAAAATGGCCAAATGCATCATTGTTTAGAATGTTTATAGGTTAAATCTTGTGTTTGAACGAATTGTTTGGTTTTTGTGTATCAGGTTACTCCAAGAAAGGTGTTGGAATTTAAAAATCCTAAAGAAGCCATATGTGAAGTTGCTGAGAAGCTTGTTGTTGGAAGCCATGGTAAAGGAGCATTACAAAGGTATGTGTGTAGGTTCTGCTTTGTCAGTTTTTTTTTTGTGTGGATAGCTTGTTTAGAGATTAGTTAGGCTTGGTTTGATCCTTTTAAATAAGGTTTTTTTTTTATATGGATAGCTATATTTTTTAGTCAGATTCGTAGCTTTAGTTTGGCATAAACCTTAGAATTATTATCTCAATTTGATAAATGAATTGTTTAACTAAGTGTTTATATAGCGGTATGTTTTAACTGATATACTTTCCATGTTTTTTGATGAATGTGTACTTGTTTGTATCTTTACTTGTTGATTTTTGTTTCTAAATTCAGATATGGATTTTCTACATCATTTGGTTCAATAAAATGAAGAACTAAAAAGCTTTCTAAAGAGTATAATAGTGGTTTGAATGATGATTTGGTGTTGGGAGATCCTACTGTGCCAAGGTTTGTGTTGTGGAATGGGAAACTGATATGTTGCCATCTCTTTTGTTTTCGATTAAGCTTTTCATTTGTTGTTTATTTTCACACAACTACGGATGTAATCTATTTCTCACAAAGCAGATGGATACTTATCATATTGTATGCAATCGTTTATTTAGGTACAACTGATATGTTTAGGTACAACTACGTAAAGGTACAACTGGTATATTTAGGTACAACTACGTAAAGGTACAATTGGTATATTTAGGTACAACTACAAGGTCCTTTTGAGCTTTTTTAAAAAAAAAATAATAATTAAAATTGATATTAAAATGAATTTAAATATGACTGACGTGAAAAAAAAATAAAAATAGACCTTTGGCGGCGGAATATTAATTTAAAAATTATCTGTATTTTGTTGTGTTGTGGATTAAGAACATATGACTTCATGTTATTGTAAACCAAAAAAATATTTAGATTATATTTATGTTCAATTGGTTTTGTAGGTACAACTGGTCTATTTAGGTACAACTACGTGTATGAGTTACTTATAAAAAAGTACAACTAGATCATTTAGGTACAACTGAGACAATTAAAAATAACCTTTTAAAAAATAAAAAGTTAATTAAAATTGGTATTAAATAAATTTAAACGAAGTAAAAAAAAAAAAAATTAAAGATGACGTAAGCATGTTTTTTGGCGGCGGAATATTAATTTTAAATCATCACACGTGTGGTAAGGTGGGCCAAAGACAGCATGATATTAATAAAAAATTGTTTTGTTTTAAACAAAGTTGTACCTAGTTGTCCAGTTGTATTGTCATATTCATAGTTGAACTTTTGCGATTTTTGTGTATTTCCAGTTGGACTTAAATGAAAATTAGTAATTTCTAGTTGGACACATGATGTTACACTATTAATTATCGTTTAAGAGGTTTTCAGAATACAATGTTCAGAAAAACTTGGATTTCACCTCTTTTGGTTCATATGAGATAATCACTTACTAAATCTTCCTTATATTAGAAGAAGTGTGTTATGTGAAAATGAAAACAATAGTTACGAAATTGATAAATTCTGGTTGTATTGATTTCAAATAGTCTATTTTTATATTTGAAGATGTTTTTGGAGAATTTTTCATATAAATCTTAATTTACAATTTATTATAATTTAATAAAAATCATAATACAATAAACGTAGTTGAACTAGTTGAACCAAGAGTATATATTAGGAAAATAATAAATTAGATTTTTATTTATTTAAAATTATTTTTTTAGAGTTCAGGATGTTTTTGGAATCGATATTAGCTCTAATTTATCGTTTTTATATTTGGTGTATAGAAATACATATACATTTATGGTCTTAGTTGTACTCAGTCGAACCTAGTTGTACAAATACGACGAATTCAAATACAGATATGTTCTTAGTTGTATCCAGTCGAACCTAGTTTTATAAATTTGACAAATACTAATACATGTTTTATTTTCCAAATCATTGAATAACTTTGCATGTAAAACATATAGATCTGTAAGTAAAAATGGTTATCAATAATATCATATATTTACTTCGAAATTAATATAACCAAAGTACAACGTTGTTAGCAACTAGAGCATCTACTTTAGTCGGAGTGTTGCCTTTCTTTGATCTTTTTTTCTTCTTAGGCTTCTCAGATTTAGCCTCCTCATCACCATCTTTTTCCTTGGTTCCCATCTCAGTTTCTACACAAAATTCAGCAATTACGAATCAATAGATACGTCCCGTACATTACAGATGAGAAAAACAAGAATCTGAAATAATTACCATTTTCAATTGTTTCACAAAGCATTAACAAGATCTATGATGCCTTCGTTCTCAGCATCATCAGTAGTTTGGTTTAATTCAGTTAGATGATTATTTACAACAATTAAAGCTAATCAAGGCTTACTAGTGTGTAACATCTAGAACTGATGATAAGAATCAGTAACTTCAACCATATACAATAAAAAAACAAAACAAAAGTTTACCTTTCTCAAGATCCTTCTCTTGGTCATCAATCATGACTAAATCAGCATTTCCTACCTCCTTTTGAAGGTCTATTCAACAAATAAACTACAGCTTTATAACACCCTAAGATAAAGGATCACAGAATTCAACAATTGTTATAAACTACAGTTTACCTTGTTCCATTGTCCCCATAAGATCAAGACTGGCCTCAACATCAATGGAATGACCATCTATAGGTTCCTCTTGGTCTGCATCACAAATTTGCTGGTTCTCTCCCATTCTAGTGCCACTTCCATCACCGTTTTCATTGTCTTAAGAAAAAACAGATACAACAATAAAAGAACTATCTGGTGTTGAGTCTAGAAGATTATAAACAATCCAAAATCAATTTGAGAATCCAATTTCAAAACGCAGAAAGATCGAACAATAATTAAGAGTGACGACAGACCTTTCGCAACAGGTGGTGGTGGTGGTTCCGCCGCAATCTTGGCTTCTCCGGAGGTTGGAGGTTCACTGTTCTCGATAGAAGCGCCGCCGCCATCTCCCAACTGAAACAAAAACGGAAATCCCCAAAATCGCCCTAAATATTTCAAACCAGAAGCTCCAGATGGCACGAAAAGATGGGGAAGAAGTAAGGTCTCCGATCAGAAACCTTTGGGCGTTTGGATGAAGGAGATTTATCTTCGGAAGAAGAAGATGGCGGAGTTCTCGCTGCTTCCATTTTTTTTGCTTTTTGTTTTTTTTTCGTTTTAATTTCTAATAATTAATTAAATAAAAAATATTCATTAAGGACAAAATGGAAATAACACATATTAGAGTGGCATTGAGACTCCAAAATGGCAGGCGTGATTAACATTTCCGGTTCGGTGGCAATCTAGCCTCTGACTCAATATAGGAGCTCTGGAGAAATATAGCTTAATCTAGAAGCAATTTTGGATTAAGGGAACCAAAAGTCAAACCTCACGTCAACGTTGAAAATATAAGTATATTGGGCTTTGAAGGCCCAAATTTATCAAATCTCCACACTGTACTAATATAGTATTTGTTTGACCCGCCAAGGTGAAGAATAAACATGAATGATTGTTGTGGCAATTTCAGATTCTCTGACGTTATCTATTTCGATTAGCACAAGGTGAAGCTGAAGCCCATCAATGGCGGATGGGTAGCCTCTGGTTTCTTTGAAGATGTATCGGATTTCAGCTACTTCTAATCTTGTCCCTTTCCTTCCGTCGTCCTCCTTCGTTCCGACACGACGGTGTTATCCTCGCAGAGCTACTCCTTACTCCAGGCGTATCAATCTCAAGCCTCTCACCTCTCGCATTGTTCTCCTCACGCGCCGCCGTCAGCTTGGTCAGATCGTGGAGGAGGTAGAAGCAGCTAAGAAACGGTATGGGAAGCTTAACACAATTGTGATGAACTCAGTTCTAGAAGCTTGCGTTCACTGTGGAAATATCGATTTGGCTCTTCGGATGTTCCATGAGATGGCCGAACCTGGTGGAATTGGAGTCGACTCCATTAGTTACGCCACTATCTTGAAGGTGATTTTTGGTTCTTTCCTCTTAATTTTGAATTTTGATTTCGTGTCATTGTGTGAGAAGAACAAACACAACACCTGAATTTGATTTCGAAAATCGTTTGTTTTGGTTAAGGGATTGGGGAAGGCTCGGAGGATTGACGAAGCGTTCCAAATGTTGGAGACTATAGAGCATGGAACTGTTGCTGGGAATCCCAAGTTGTCATCATCTCTTATCTATGGTCTGCTTGACGCTCTTATCAATGCTGGTAAGATTCTTAAGCTGTAACAGTTTCTCCTGCTCAATAGGCTGCGGCTAATCTTGATTATGTAATCTCGGTGTTCGTGAAATGGCCTGAAGCTGATGCAAAAACACTTGGTATTGATCTAGTGCAGGAGATTTACGTCGTGCCAATGGTCTGCTTGCACGATATGATATTTTGCTTCTAGATCATGGCACCCCGTCAGTTCTCATCTATAACCTGTTGATGAAGGTAATTCTTTACGCATTTAGGCCAGAGAAGCATCATCATGGTATATGTCATCTTGCTTTTGCCATAGTATTTTCTTGTTATATATTTCAGGGCTATGTCAACTCAGAATCTCCGCAAGCTGCAATAAATTTGCTGGATGAAATGTTACGACTTAGATTGGAGCCTGATAGGTTGACTTACAATACTTTGATCCATGCCTGCATCAAGTGTGGCGATATGGATGTGGCTATGAAGTTTTTCAAGGAAATGAAGGTCACACATGTATATTTAAAAGGCTAGTTTTATACTCCAAGTGTTACTCAAAGTAGTACTGGGGTAGAGCTTGGCTCATGGTAATTATGATGTCTTGGTTTTGAATATAATTCAGGAGAAAGCAGAGGAATATTACGACGATTTTCTTCAGCCAGATGTTGTAACATACACCACTTTGGTGAAGGTGAGCCAGCAATCTGGGGATCTCTTTATATATGTAATCTTTATGCGGGAGATGGCCTAGTACTCTTGTTGTTTCTGCTTCTTATGATGACTTTCTACTTTTTAGGGATTTGGGGATGCGAAGGATCTGTTATCACTGCAGGACATATATTTGGAAATGAAATTGTGTGATAACGTGTTCATTGACCGAACTGCATTTACAGCAGTAGTTGATGCTATGCTAAAGTGTGGTTCAACAAGCGGTATGTTACTATGAATTGTTGTTACATTGTTGCTGCTTTCAGCATCCCAGAACATAGATGAGCTTGGAGTAACTTCTTAGGGTCTTTATTGAATATCTTCACAGGGGCCCTTTGTGTATTTGGTGAGATATTGAAGAGAAGTGGAGCTAATGAAGTCTTGCGACCGAAGCCTCACTTGTACCTGTCTATGATGCGTGCGTTTGCTGTCCAAGGGGATTATGGAATGGTTAGAAATCTGTATCTTCGCTTATGGCCGGATTCTTCAGGATCAATCTCCAAGGCGGTTCAACAAGAAGCTGATAATCTCTTGATGGAAGCTGCTCTCAATGCTGGCCAGGTATTAAAAAATTAGATCAACTCTCTGGTAGTGGGCCTTCTAGCGAATGGAAAGTCTTTCCTTTATCCTTTGTCTGGTGTGTATCATTTTCTGATGATACTTGCTTGTCAGGTAATGATTACGAGTCCTCTAACTAATTTTCTGGATTATTTTTCAGCTCGATGAGGCCTTAGGGATTCTTTCAAGTATCGTGAGAAGGTGGAAGGCAATCCCTTGGACGACTAGTGGAGGCATGGTATGATGTGAAAAGTCATTTGCAGACATGAGATATTTGTTTTGGTAAATATGTATTTACTAAGCGGTTATGTCCGATGAAACCTTAGTTGGGTGGTTTTTGTTCAACCGCAGGCTGCTGTCCGCCTAGAAGCATTGTTGGGGTTTTCCAATCTATATTGCGTCCACATCTACTAAGTAAGGTATAGATAACTATTTCCCACACTCTCTATTCACGCAAATGATCTCAGAATGTGAGGTTTGGTGGTTTGCTGTGCTTGCCTCAATTTGTAATCTAATAGTGAGATGTAAGTTTGGTAATTAACAACAATCAACACAGGTGATACCAAGTGAACCAATAGAAAGCATTATGATTCGATTTGAAACCACTCAGCCACTGTTAGGCACTTTACAGTTGAAGAATGTGGTCATGCGGTTTTTCAAGGAGCAAGTTGTACCAATTGTAGACGACCGGGGATGCTGCATAGGCCTTTTGCATCGGGAGGATTGCATCAATGTGAGTTAAACAAAATATTGTTCCACTTCAGCACTTGTTGACATAAAAAAAAGATAGATGAACTGATAGATTTGTGCATTTAAATATTTTCTCGTAGCTTGATGCGCCATTGGTCTCAATGATGAGAAGCCCGCCCACATATGTGAATACAACAACATCGATTGGTCGTGTCGTGGATCTGGTTTTGGAAAAGAAACTTAAGATGGTTATAGTTGTTCATTGCGGAAATCTTAGTGGGAGTGGTTATAGCTCAAAGGCAGTAGGAGCTTTTACAAGAGCACAATTGTATCGGCTATTTGAACCAGAACAACAGCTGCTTTAGTAAATGTAAGTAATATAACATCGCTTCTTATATAAGTTAGTTCTTCCAAATTGTTAGATTGTCACGTTTTTGCATATAGACATATCTCTTTGGGTAAAGAAAAAAAAAACAGATGACTAGTTCATGTTCACAGGAAAAACCATATCATTTGTCCAATACTTATGCTATGCTGAAACACGAAAGAAAATTAACAAGATAGAATAAAAGCACTGACATAGGAAAACTAATAAGACGCAGTTGCAATGTCTGCATGTGATATAATGCAGATGTACATCACTTAGATGCAGCAGTTTCATATCAATAACGGTTTGAAAGGCTCCTCTTCTTCGGGTTCTTCTGCATCTTACTTGCTGTTACATCGTTGTACGCTGTTGGAGATTCCTTCTTCCCTTGCACCACTTCCTTCTTTGTTCCTTCCTCTGGTATTTCTTAACTTGGGCGCTTGTTTCGGTTGCTTCTTCTTTCGCTCTCCTCTTCTTTAACTTCAGCTTCTTCCTGTTCCGCTTCCTTACTTTTTTCAACATTCACAGCTTCATTCATATCCGTAGAAGTAGCAACTGTGTCGCTATTTTCCTCATCATCAACTTTCTTGCTATCAAACTCCTCATAGATCTCAATCTTCTTGCTATCGACCAACACATCTCGTTTCTTCTGCCTAAACCCGCGGAACCAATCACTCGTCTCATCCAAAACTGAAACATTCTCAGGCTCGTTGCTCTCAAACTTATACTCCTCAATGATCTTCAACTCTTTTGCCTCAGCTTCTTCTCTCTGTCTATTGAGATTCTTAAGCTCTTCTCTTAATAGCCGAACCGCGTTGTGTTGCATATACTCCCATTGTTTCATAAGGTTGGTTAGTTGAGAGGAGCCTTGAGGAGTCGAATTCAATAGTTCTGGTAAGCGTGTCAAATCCGCAATGGTTAGTTTCTCTTCAATCGTCACTTCTTTCAATGTGTCTAAATCTCCGGCAGGTTTCTCGACGTTGAACTGTTTGTCAGCTTCAGTTCCAACATCTTCGGGCCACATCGAAGACAAGACTTCGACATCCATTTCCTCAATCTGATCAGTCTCCAGCGGTTTAAACTGGAAATATCCCTCAGCTGTATCGTCTGGTTTGGAGTGATGATCCGCCATGTCAGAGAACTCATCTTGATCATCTGAATAATCATCTGATGTTCCAACTTTGTAGGGTAATATAAATGTGAACGTTGAACCTTCGTTCACCCGGCTTGTCACAGTGAGTTGACCTCCCATTAACTCAACCTGTAAACAAGTATAGAAAGATTAGAATAACAAAGTTCTTTAGTTTCTTTTGTAACGTTGTAAAATCTTTAGTTTACCAGCTGTTTACAAATGGCAAGTCCGAGACCAGTTCCACCGTATTTGCGGGCATGATCAGCGCTTGCTTGCATGTACTTCTTGAACAAACATGGAATAGCGTTTTCTGCACAAGAACACCAAAACATGGACCAGGTTAATATATAGGTTGGTTGGAGTCTTTATCTTTTCATGTTCTTGAGCATTTCTTTATCAGAATTGCTTGCTTGCTTGCCTGGGATTCCAATTCCAGTGTCCCAAACATCACAGCAGATCCAAACTGAAGTCTCGGTCAAACCGTTTTGTTCGTGTTCCTCGGTGTCTGCGTTCAATGCGTTATCCCTCGCAAAGGATGGTTCTGATATCACTTGGAGTTTGATTCCTACATTTCCTTCATGTGTGAATTTGATAGCATTGCTGCAAAAAGCGTTTGAACAAATCAGGAACCGAAACTTGTCATATGCAAATAATCCAGGAATCAGGTAAGAACCTTATCAAATTGGTGAGGATCTGCCGAATCCTTAGAACATCTCCAACTACCTGAACATAAAAAAGGAAAGAAGTTAAAGATCACAAATACTTTACCACATTTAACTCTTTCTGAAAATGTGATGTATGTGTACTAACCTCAATAGGAACATCATCTGCAATGTTTCCTTCTAATGTCAAAGATTTCTTCAGCGATGCTGCAGCTGTCTGAAGCACATGCTTGACCACTTCTCTTGGTCGAAACTTTGTAGCTTCTAATTTCATCACACCTAAAAATAACACACAGACCAAAAAAGATATATGTAATCGAGGATCTGAAACAATGACCACACCACAAGATCAAAAGTTTGAAACTAGACAGTATATTGTACCTGATTCAACCTTGGAAATATCAAGAATGTCGTTGATTAGCTGAAGCACCAAATCCCCAGAAGAGATCATGACATTCAACAACTGTCTTTGCTCTTTATCCAGTTTTGTAGTTGAAAGTATCTCAGCCATTCCCACTACTCCGGATAATGGTGATCTTATCTCATGAGACATTGTCGCTAGCATTTGCTTCGCTCTCATTGTCTCCTCTGCAAAAGAAAAAACACAACACCTAAGTCTAGTTTTCTCATGAATCTTTCTGAAACTTAATCACTTGATTTTTCTGCTTAGCTTTGAACAAACCTGTAATGTGGATGGTCTTGTTCAGTTCTGATTCCATCGCCTTTCTCACTGCGTTATCTTCTCTAAGTTTCGCCATTTTCTCCCTTTTATCTACCTGTAATGCAGAAAGATACAGTGAAAATGTGAAAATGAGAACATAGATTATAAATTTGGTTCAATGATCTTAGCTAACTAACCTGTTCAGTTACTTCCATTCCCATGTAGTTTATACCGATTTTCTCGCCAGCTTTGTTGTAAACAGGCTCAACATATACCAAAAACGTCTTTGATCCGAATAAATCTGTCGTAAATGTGATCTCTCTCTTTGAAGCTTTTCCTTTCTCAAGAACTTCTCTCTTGAAATCTTGATATTCTTTAATGCCACCTCCGTGGAATATCTCAACGTCTGTTTTTCCCAAAATGTCCTGAAATCAGTAAGAAACAGATTTTGATTCAAACACACATTTCCTCAGGAGAATGTATCAATAAATCCAATAGAACAAAAACTCAAAAAGTTTTCTACTAACCTGTTCCCGCAAACTAGGATACTTGTTGTAGATGAACAAGTAACGTAAATCTATATCCTGAAACCCATAAGTAACAAAGGATCAGAGAAACATTACTCGTAAAGATCGAATACAGGATCAAAACCACCTTTACTTAACCTGATGGCCCATTACAATAGGTGCATTCTGAAGTATGAAATGCAAGAAACCTTCAGCTTTCTTAAGATTCTGAGTTAGCTCTTGGACCGGTGCTGACTGACTTTCCATAGTCTTCAAACTCTCACTCAGCTTCTCGATCAATCTCCTTTCTCTCTCAGTACTCGCCTCAAGCATTTTCGGTTTCCAATATGCAACCGTGTCAAACTCCTCATAGATCTCAATCTTTTTGCTATCGTCCTATCGACCAACGCATCTCTTTTTTTATGCCTAAACCTGCGGAATGAATCACTCGTCTCATCCAAAACCGGAACATTCTCAGGCTCGTTGCTCTCAAACTTATACTCCTCAATAATCTTCAACTCTTGTGCCTCAGCTTCTTCTCTCTGTCTATTGAGATTCTTAAGCTCTTCTCTTAGTAGCCGAACCGCATTGTCTTGCATATACTCCCATTGTTTCACAAGGTTGGTTAGTTGAGACGAGCCTTGTTGAGTCGAATTCATTAGTTCTGGTAACCGTGTCAAATCCGCAATGGTCGGTTTCTCTTCAATTGTCACTTCTGTCAACGTGTCTAAATCTCCGGCAGGTTTCTCGACGTTGAACTGTTTGTCAGCTTCAGTTCCAACATCTTCGGGCCACATTGAAGACAAGACTTCGACATCCATTTCCTCAATCTGATCAGTCTCCATTTATCAAAGTTCTCTTCACACAACAACAACACAACGGACCAAACAAATCTCAAATTTCAAACAACTTTTCCTACTCTTGATCTGAACAAAGAATCTGTATCAGACATTTTCAAACACAGATTAGAGTCAGGACAATCTATCTCCATCCAGAATCTTGATCTGTAAAATATGAAAATTCAAATTTTGCAAAGGGTCTACAAAAACTAAGTGTGTGGACCAACTGTAATGGAACATTAGCGGGAAACTTCAAATTATATGATTCGACCTTTAAGAATCTGAAATTTGCAAACCTTCAAAACAAAAAAATTGGATCAGTTTCTTTCTTAGATTGAAATATCAACTAGGATCATAAGTTCACTAATAAACGATAAAATCCGATGAAACTTTTTGTGAGAAATGATCGGAAAACAGTTGGGAAAAAAATACTCTGTGAAGGGTGAAACAGAAAGAAATGGAAAAACGAAAGAGAAAGCAGAAAAACGAAGAAGCTTTACCTTCTCCGGCTCCGGTCACCGGAAAATGAAGAAGAAGAAGAAGGAGAGAGTAGATCTGAAGAGTAGTCTCTGGTCGTCGGGAGTAGAGTAAATAAACTTCAAATGAGCATTGGGAAGAGAATCACCAATGAAGAAAGAGAGAGGACATGTGCTTGCTCATGAGACAGAGAGGTCAATGTAGCTTGATGCGCCATTGGTCTCAATGATGAGAAGCCCGCCCACATGTGTGAGTACAACAACATCGATTGGTCTGCGTGTTAAATCTGGTTTTGGACAAGAAACTTAAGATGGTTATAGTTGTTCATTGTGGAAATCATAGTGGAAGCGGTTATAGCTCAAAGGCAGTAGGAGCTTTTACAAGAGCACAATTGTATCGGCTATTCGAACCAGAACAAAAGCTGCTTTAGTGGATGTAAGTAATATAATATCGCTTCTTATAATATGAGTTAGTTCTTTCGTAGATTGTCACGTTTTTGCATATAGAAATCTCTTAGGGTAAAGAAAAAAAAGCAGATGACTAGTTCATTCACGTTCACAGGCAAACCATATCCTTTGTCCAACACTTGATGCTATGCGAAAACACGAAATAAAATTAACAAGAAACAATAAAAGCACTGACATAGGAAAGCTAATAAGACGCAGTTGCAATGTCTGCATGTGATGTAATGCAGGTAGATGTATATCACTTAGATGCAGCAGTTTCATAGTCAATAACGGTTTGAAAGGCTCCAGCAAGAGCCAAGACCTTGTTCTTCTTCGAGTTCTCTTGCATCTTACTTGCTATTACATCGTTGTAGGCTGTTGGAGATTCCTTCTTCCCTTGCACCACTTCCTTCTTTGTTCCTTCCTCTGGTAATTCTTCTACTTGAGCCTTTGTTTCGGTTGTTTCTTCTTTCGCTTTGCTGCTTTCGCTCTCCTCTTCTTTAACTTCTGCTTCTTCCTGATCCCCTTCCTTACTTTCTCCGACATTCACAGCTTCATGCATATCTGTAGTAGTAGCAACTGTCTCGCTCTTTTCCTCATCATCAACCTTCTTTTTAACTTCTTCCTCTTCTTCACTGTTGTTTTCTTCGGTGTTCTCTGGTTCTTTCGGCTCCTCTATTTGCTCTTTGCTTTTATCCTCATGAATCAGTTCTCCTTTTTCTTCTTCTGTGGAGGCAGCCACTGGACTTGTGGAGGCAGCCACTGGACTGGTCTCCTTCTCTTCACCGGATTCATCCTGTTGTGCAACCTGATCTTTATCTTCCTCTTTCGGTTCTTCTCTGTGGTCAGAAATGTGTACATCGGTCTCAACCTTCACAATCTCTTCTTCGTCCTCGTGAGCAGGCGCAAGAGGAGAAGATTCCGGGGAAATCTCTTTACCCGAAGATTTCTTGGGAACATTCGCAGAACCTTCCTTTTTGCTCTTGGAAGAGCTGCTACCGCTTAGACCGCTCTTCTTTACCCCTGGAGATCCTCTTGAAGCCACAGGAGGTGATTTCACCGCACTGCTTCCTCTGAGACCGCCTCTGCTGCTTCCATGGAAAGATGTAGAACGCAGACCAGTGACAGGCTTCTCCCTTGGAACCGCAGGTTTGTCTCGTGGGTGTGCAGGAGAGGTATTGAGAGATTTCAGGGATGATGAAGTTGATGGAGAAGTCAAAGACGAAGGAGGATGATCAAAGGATCGTCTACGAAGAAGCTTCTGATTGTCTTCGACAGCGTTGTTCTTCCTCAAGAACTTGACCGGGTCAGGTCTCGAGCTGATTGTTGGTTTCAGATAATTAGGCAAAGGCTTCCCAATTGTTTTCCGATCAGATCCATCTGCGTTCGCTTCAGGTTCTGATGATGAGACCGGCTTTGGCTTTCTGCCGAGTGATTTTGATCTGGTTAGGTTTGGTTTTTTAGGTTTCGTTTTCGTTGTACTAGACGTCGTTGCCATTATTAAGAAATCAAATAACGACCTGAGACGCTACCGAACAACGCACAATCAGAACAAAAAAAAATATATTTCAGAAGAATATCATATAAGTAGCCAGCCTTAAAGAGTATCAATCAATTCAGACAAAAATTACTACGAGAAGAAGAAGATGAATACCTTGCGATCAAAGGAGATGAATAATTTTGTTTTTGAACCAAGGAGAAGAGGCGTGTATATCAAGGAACGTAATCTCCAAAGATTTGTGGTTGAAAATTAGGGTTTTCTATTTTATTTTTGAACTCTGTATTTGTAATTGGAGCTTAAATCTCGCATTTCTTAGGTGGTGGTGGTGGAGACCATGAATCCTCCATTTATTTATTTGTTCATAAACAAATTATAACGATTTCGACCGTTTTGGAAAACCGTAGACTTTTGTTTGAGCTAGTCCATCTTTTTATTAAAATGTACATGTTTTTCCACGTAATTACTATTACTTAGATGGTCATACATGTCTAAATTTATTTATTATTATTTTTGTTTCCTTGCAAAAATAATAACTAATTGTATTGTTATTCTATATAATGCTTTACATATTCAATGGAAAAATATATTCTTCCTAATTTAGTTTAACAAAGATAACAATTCTACTTTTTTTTTTTTAATTTTAACAACCCACACATTAAATTAAAAGGCAACTCTGTGATTTGTTGCCTAAAAACAGAACTAACAATTTCATATATTTATTGGTTGTTGATTATTAATAATAAAATGATATATTAGGTATTTTATCATTTTTCATAGATGTAATATAATGTATACATATTTAAATGAAAACGTCATAAATAAAAAGTATGTAAAAACAACTAGCTCTTATAGGGTTCTAACCAAAACTTTCATACCATTTACAGAACTGATGGTTCTAGCAAGAGAGTCTTTGGTGGAGAATTCAGTAAACCACCCACCCCTTTGCTTTTACCGTCATGAATCCTCCTGATCAGCCAAGCAATCATCTCTCCAAATTTCCTGAACAGCTCTTGTAACTCTATATTCTTCATCCCCTAATAGGTTGCTTAATTACATAATAAGAGCACAATGTCTTAAAAGACTAGTAGCTTAGCTAGTAGGCATCTCCAATGGGAAGAGTCAAGAGTCTCGAATTAAAACGACTTTTAAAACGATATATCGATAAAATATTCGGGCCTAGCAATCCTGACATGCACAATACTTTGAATTTGATCAAAGATTGGGTCGTATCCGAAAATCAGAAACTCGACCAAGTCATCATGTTTCCCAAACAAAAAAAGTGACACATGATACATACATTATATATAATGATTAAAGGTTCACGAAATTAAACAAGTACGTGCTGAATTCATATTTCGAAGACAATCAACTACTCCTTTTGTGATAACATGATTGCTTATGTGAAATAAAAAGACACAGGGATTATACATGAAAATGAAAAATGTTCCAAACAAAAAAGAAATGAAAAAAATGCTATAGTGGAGAAATGGTGGTCGATGTATCCACGCTTCAAAAGACATAAAACAACCTTTAAAGTGCAAGCTTTGTATATGAACCTCATAAGTCAGAAGAGTTCTTCTTTTTTTTTTTGTTAATAAACACCGCATAAGAGTTTCGGACGTGTAGTTCTAAGTCTTTGCCTCTTTGGGAATTCCCTACCCAAGGATTCCACGTTTGATATATTTGCGCAATCTATCTATTGTTTTATTTTTTTGATAAACTAATCTATCTATTGTTTTAGCATTTTCAAAATTAAAAGAAACTCCATTGTTACCTATATGAAATTTTAAAGAAAAATGTTGTTAAGGTTTTCTTTTATGAGTTTATCACATATCACATATATATGAGAAAGTCCAAGTTTTTTGTTTTCTGAATTCTGATGCTTTTTTTGGTAAGCTTCTGAATTCTGATGCTAAACAAAGAATATATGTTTTTTTTTGGTAAATACAAAGAATATATGTTTAGTTTATAGGAGAATAATTATGAATTTAGAATTTTTCAAAATAAAAAAAATTATCTTATGCAAAGAAGTAGGGAGTCTCTTCTTGATTTACGCCAAAAAGGACGATACGTTTGTTATTACACCTTTCTCGACATCATCAATATCAACAATTTAATGAAATAATCTAAATCCTTTTTATCTACAAAATCAACTAATCCATTACACTTTCCAACAGTTATAATCTAATCGGCAATCCCATATTATATTAAGAAAACTCATCCATTAATTTCACCAAAAAAATACAAAATTCAATACTCAATTATCATTCCGTCTACAATACGTAACGCCGCTAACGGACAACGGCGTCGTTTTAATTCTTCCTAATACTCTTCCATCCACTGAGGACGACGTCAGTAGTCATCTCAGCCGTCATCTTTAGCTTTCACTGAACCAAACCCGAAATCAACGGTCCTGATCTCTCTAACCGCTTTTCCATATTTGCTACGCCACTTCTTAAAAGCTTTATAAACCCCACAATATTTATTATATATACACATATAAATATACATATCTTCTTCTCCTCTCTCTCTTCTCTACTTCGCTCCACGTTTTTGTTAATTCTCACAGACGGCGGAGAGTAATCTCTCTCTCGGAAAAGGAAAAGAGGTAACGCCGGAAAGTTTTTTTTTTTTCCCTCTCTCTCGCAGCAGCTGACATGGTTTCTCTAAGATGATATCGAGAAGAAAAAAAGTTGATATATTTGTATCAGATTCTCTCTTGTTGTTCTCTGTTTGGATTGAATTTTCAATTTTGGAAGAGTTTTTTTTTCAATTTCACAGTTAGGGTTCGAATCCTGTTAACTTGTAGCTTGATCGGAAAATTTTGAAGGGCAAAGTTTCTTTAATTGTCTCATCTTTGTTTAGATTTGTTGATGGCCTTGTTTCATGGTGAAGCTGGAATCGCGGAGAAAAGGGTTGTTATGTTTATGGAAAGTCCGTCTAATTCGAATCAGACCCTTTCTTTTGGGACCATTAAAGTCACCTCCTTTTTTCTCTCTTTTGGTTTCTTTTTACTTTTTTTTTTTTTTTCTTCATCTACGATCACACAATCATCAGCTTTGTAGCTTGATGTTTATGATTCATCAAGTTATAAACACCAGTTGTTTTCCTCTGGATGATCTATTATCTTCCTTCATGTTGTTTCCGTAAGCTTTTTTTTTTTATGTGGTTGTCTGTTTTTTTTTTTTCTCTCCGTGATGCTTTTTACTTTCAACGACTTGCTTTTTGATTTCGTGGAAGACAATCTTAAAGCTTCCATGACTTTATTGAAGCTATTATTTTATAGGTTTTTCTGTTTGGTGTTAGTGGATTATTACTATTTGATATAGCTCTGGCTGGATGCACTTTTTAACCTGGATTGATACTTGTTTTTGTCTGCAGGGAAAGTGTTTCTTTGATTTATGGATGGATGTGCGGGTAAACGATCTGTTGACCGGTTGGTTGGGCCTCGGAAAGCTACTGGTCTTATCCTGCGTGACAATATGAACAAGACAGATGGTAAGACTGATCCTTTCTGCAGCCGAGTTGGTTGTAGTGCAAAGGTAACTTCTACCAAGAGATCCCGGATTGGCTCTACGGACAACAATACAAAAGTTGCTCTGCCTCCGGTTCCGTCTTCCTCACATGGAAAGGAAATTGTTGGTAGTTCATCTCGAACTCCTGGTGGATTTGGATACTTAAGAAAGCCAGCCAAAGTTACTCCCAGAAGAAAGCCGTCATCTAGTTTAGACACAGAATCTTCGGAAAAGACTAGTATTCATTATGATCCAGCTGCAACAGAGCCTACACTTCCACGCCAAAAGAATAAAAGAGGCACAATCAATGTTCATCCTCAAAGCGCTTTCTCTGGAGAAGTCGTGTTGACAAAGGCAGGAAGCTCAAGTAGAGGAACCAGCAGAAGTAGTCATCAGAAGTCTGAATTGGGCACCCGAGATGCTCTGACGGGTCCTTCTGTTTCCACATCTTCTGATAACAGCGAGCACACTGTAAGAGGCGGTTTGAGCAGGAATAGATTGAGGAACTTGAGTTGCAATTCTGTGTCTGATGTTCTTCCAACTAACTCAAACTCAGCAACAAAAATCAGTGTGACTAAAAAGAAGAAAAACTCTGATGGAGAGAGCAGCTCCTCTAGCAAAGGCAGTAAGACTAGTGTGTTGGTGCCAAAGGTAAGGAGTCAAATTTCTTCTCATGGCAATGGCATCACAGTTTCTGATAACAGAAGAAATCGAATAGTACCAAGTATTAGGGACAGCAGTGTTGGTTCAGGTGGTGGTAGGAGATCTGGTTATATTGGTAGATCAGAGCGACTTGGAGCTGTTGCATCCTCTGCTACTTCTCGACAAATGCCTCATCCTGCAACACCAACTGATCCCAATCCTTCTCTTTCGTTTTTTCCATCAGATAGATACAGTAGGCCAAACAGTAGTACTGGACGTGTACATAGCACAATGCCTGGTAGCCCCACGGAAGCTGACCCTTCAAGCTCTTTGGTGAACCGGGATGGTTTGAGTCACTACAACATGAATGGTATTGCAGAGGTAGTTTCCGTCACCATTTTGTCTGATGTTATTGACATGTTCCTGAGTGGTCGTGAATCGTGCTAACACAATACTATTTTGAAAATCTTTCAGGTATTGTTGGCCCTAGAAAGGATTGAACATGATGAAGAGCTTACATATGAGGTACTAAGCAGCTTGGTATATTGATATGAACAAGTTTTGTCTGAGCTTATGGTTTTTCTGATGTTTCTACTTTGTGTTCTGCTTCTTTTCCCATAGCAACTGGCTTCTTTGGAGACCAATCTATTCTCAAGTGGTATGTTCAGATTCTTCGATCAGCATAGAGATATGAGGCTTGACATTGATAACATGTCATATGAGGTCAGTCTGGCATGTTTGACTTCTTGGTCCTTGGACTATTCAATCAAAAGTCTATGAAAGCTAAAAGCATATGAATACAAATCTTGCAGGAACTACTAGCTTTGGGGGAGAAAATGGGTACAGTGAGCACAGCTCTAAGCGAAGAAGCACTCTCGAGAAGCCTCAAGCAAAGCACTTATCAGAAGACAGATGAAACCGGTTCCATTTCTCTGAGTAAGGAAGATGATATCAAGTGCAGTATTTGCCAGGTCTCTTTTGTTTCTCTATCTTCACCCTAATTTCTACCCCAAACCAGACTGCTTTGAGTAGTAAAAGGGTATTAGTGAAAACGAAGATGTTAATGTGCTTTGATATATGCAGGAAGAGTTTGTTGATGGAGATGAAGTAGGGACTATGCCATGTCAACATATGTACCATGTGAGCTGCGTACAACAATGGTTGCGGATGAAGAATTGGTGCCCAATCTGCAAAACCTCTGCGGAAGAGGAGTAATCATTTTAGTGAATAATGCCAACACCAGTTTTAGGTTTGTGGGATGACTCCAAGATGATGCAGATACATTGCTTTTTTCTTCACCAAGTGCTTGTCTCTACATCATCTTGCTCTCTCTCTCTTTTTTTTTTTTTTTTTTTTTTTCACAACTCTCTCTCTCTTTACTTTTCTTTTGTACATATAACAATATATTTCTTTTGACCCAATTCGGTACAAATGGGTAAATAAGATCAGGTGACCATATCCTTCTCTTTCTGTATTAAAAGCTCAACTTTTGATTTGAACCTGAAACATTTTTTGGTTTATACAAACAACTATACTCTCTTTCTGCACTCTTCATACTCCTCAAGAGTCAAGACTACACTGAGTTATATATATATATATCATACGGGAATACTAGCATGTCACTCTCTATAGAATTGTTAGGGAAAATTGCAAGATAAAATCCTATATATAGTAGTTTCACTCTGAAAATCAGTCTTATTAGTATAGTGTCTCAAGTTATTTGCATGATAGTGCAGAAAACAAAACATTGTGTTTTGCATTTTAGAATGTTTGATATCACTTATCTTAACTTTGATCTTGGAGAGAAATTTTATCTTAACTTTGATCTCCACTCTTTTTTGTACTGAGTTTATTACCTTAGGAAGATTATATAATGTCATACTCTACAGAATTATTGGAAATAAAAAGGAGAAAGATTTATTGTGTTAAACACCTTTAAGACAAAATTGGATAAATTGAATTACAGACTAAAATTTGATCAAATGTTTGCATATCTATGATATTTCCTGATAATGCATTGCAGACAAAACTTGGGACGACTCAATTTGTAATGAACAAGTAAAAATCTTACAACAACAGAGAATTTTTATGAGTCTTCGATAATCCGAGTAACTTTGCCCATAGCAACAGTTCTTCCTGATGATCTAAGGAACACTCTTCCAAGAGCTCTACTTTCAGAAAATGTCTCCACACAAACTGGATTTTGGAGACTAACCTGCAGTTACAACCAAAAGATTATTAGATCGAATCAGTTGTTGTAATAATTTACCTCATAAGCCATAGAGATTTTCAAACCTCAAGCATTGCACTCTGTTTCGCAGTTAGACAACGAGGAGACTTCTTTGTTGGCTGCCCTGTTTTGGGATCAAGCATTGCCACAAGTTTCACAACTGTTGCTGCTTCCTTAGCATGATGCACATGAAACTCCAACTATAATGATTGAATTACAATGGAAAGGATCAGAATACATGGAACGGATTATAGAGAATCGAGGAAGAGGGAAAGAGAGGCCTTTTTTGTTTTTTGTTTTACCTGAGAACCAAGCAAGATCGGTGTTGCGCCCTCCAAGACGAGCACCATCAATTCCAAATGAGTTGCTACTGATACAGGGAAATCAGGATGGCACAATACATCTCCTGCCATTACTTGATTTGCATCGATCCCTTGCAAAGCTATCGCTACGTTATCTCCAGCTCTTGCAATGGTGCAAGCCTGAGAGTCACGCTCCAGAGACCGCACGGTTCCTTGATCTCCCGATGGCATAATCATTATCTAGCAGAAAGTTCCAGTAATGTAAATAATCAGTTGAAGCAGTTTCATTCATTTCATTAAACAAGAGACTAGAGGCACATCCGCAAGAAAGTAAATCGATCAGAAGCTATTGATAACAAAGGGAACTTGATACTGTGAAACCTTTCCAACACCCAAACTGATTTTGTACACAATATAGTAATTCTTGGCATTTGATGTTGAAAATTCAATCATGGGTTTAGGTCGAGCTACTCAGATATCGAAATGGAAATTAGGTAAAATCACCAGAAAAGCGTATCCTAAGGTTAATTCAGGTAGATAGATATAAAATCACCAATCATGCAACCAAACGAGAAGAATAACTTCCCATTGTGAAACTTGTGTACCTTAGATCCTGGCCGAACAGCTCCAGCTTCAAGTTTGCCACATGCAGATACCTGCCCTTGCGAAGTTGATCTTACAGCATCACATATAGGCATGAGTAGAGGCTTTGAGACGTCTCTATCAGGAGACTTGACAGAGTCAACGACATCCAATAAACATGGACCTTGATACCTGTATTAGCAAAAAATTATTTCATTGCCTATTTCGAGCATGCTAAGCAATTTACCAGCTATCTGTACCAGAAATGCCAGGTCAGGTATCGAGAAAGGAAAAACAGGAGCATACCATGAGGATAGGCGATTGTCAGAGGGAGCTACCACCAAGTTTTGGTTTTCCATGGCACTTAATGGAATCCATGTCAGAGAAGAATCCTTAAAACGGCAGGATTGCAAAAAAGATCCAACATGCTGCTTAATCAAATCAAATCTTTCCTTTGAGTAGCCAACAATATCCATTTTGTTGACTGCAACTATGACTTGCTCCACGCCAAAGCCTCTCAGAACCCGTGCATGCTCCCTTGTCTGGCCTTTCAAATTATCAAAACCAGCTTCAAAAGCACCAACAGATGCATCTATGACAAGAATCGCAGCATCTGCTTGTGTTGCTCCTGCTATCATGTTTGGAACAAAATCTTTGTGTCCAGGAGAGTCGAGCAAAACAACATGATGTCTTTTGGAGTTGAAATAAGCAACAGCCACAGTCATTGTTATTCCTCGTTCTCTCTCTTCAGCACTCTCATCCAATGCCCAGGCATATGCAAAGGACCCTTTGCCCTGATCAGATCAGAAAGACAATGTCAAGCAAACGGAGCAGAATACTGAAAATTCGAGTATCTAAGATCCAAACAAAACAACAAGTTACCTGCAACTTTGCTTCTTTCTCATACTTATGCATTTGCTTCTGCGATATTCTTCCCAATAGATGCAATAATCTACCCGAAAGTGTTGACTTACCGGAATCAACATGCCCCACCTACAATCAGATTGCAATTATCAGTACTCTGCCTGGACAAAAATCAATAAATAGTCGCCAGTAATCGAAGAAACTCACGATGGCAAGATTAAGCTGGCTTAGTGCATCTGATTCTTTATCAAGAAGCATCCACTCCTCTGGCTTATGCTTAGATTGTGATCTTGGTCCTCTGATTTTAATATCACTGGAGTTTTCTGTTTCCCCAATCAAAGACATCTTGTTCATAGTACCGGTAAGACTCTCTGACGTCTCCAAATATTTGGAGGAAGAACTTGTCTCATTAGACATATCTGCTTTTGCTTTTGGCAAACTTTTTCCCGATTTTATGCCACCAGCACCACCCTTTGAAACACTATTATCAAGTTTATCATGTCTACCTCGGGAGCTTGTTTCGGAACTATCTCCTCCTTTTTTAAAAGGTTTCTGTTCTGCGCTATCTTGCTTCTCCTTCTGTCTCATACTAGCATCACCTGAGGCTTAAGAGTTAAGAACCCAATTCAAAAACGAAAACCTTTATTAAAAATTAGAAACAGAACAGAGTAAAACGCCCAAAGAGAATAACTTGGAGGAAATTCACAAACAAGTTTCAGCCATATTAATAAGAAAAATAACCCAAAACTAAAAAGGAAACGAAACAATAAGAGAAATCCTGTTGCAATAAGTAATTGAACTATAAATCCTAGTTAGACTAGGACTTGAGCTTATGTTTCCTTTTCTCTACCTCACTACGTGAATAGACTATCCAAGGCGTCATTGGATCCGTATCAATATAGGTTTCAGAATCTAATCCGTACAATAACATTACAGCATCAAACTCAAAGTGAAAACCAAGTGTGGATACCTTTTGGACCAGTTTTTGAGGATGTTAGTCCATTGGAGACTAAATCATCTGGCGATGGAGCATCAAACTTGAAAGGTGCTATACACAAGTTGAAAAGGAAATGTCAGAATAACGCATTTACAACAGCACAATTGCAAAGACCCAACTATAGAATCTCAACACGAACAGCTTGTCATGATAACTGAAGAACAGAAAACACTATCAAACTACAGCAAGTTCACAACCTATACTAACGCAGGAATTTTTAGAACTAAAGGCCTTGTGGAAATCATGAATATTCCCACGGGAAATTCCAGGCAGAGTTCCCTGATCCATCACAAGATTCTTGTGTGCAGGAAGATAAAGAACAGCCCTTTTCGGTGTATTAGATGGAACTGATCCGAAAAGGGACTTTGCCAATTTGGATACCACGGGTTCTTTGCATCTGCCTTCAACTGCATAAAACACATCTATTCTATAATTAAACACCTAGAATACCAAAATCATCACAATTATAAAAACCACAGTTACTACTATTTCTAAACATAAACCAATAGCTTGATCAAGTGACCTCAAAAAACAAAACATCCGAGATATATCAGACAAGATGCAATAGTTCGTGTATCCTACGCAGAGGCAAAGAGAGATTGCATACATACAAAGTATCACTGATATAGAATAGAGGAGAGAAAATATAGTACTTGTAGTCTTGTTGATACTTTGATTTCCTGCTACAGGATGACGAAGAACGCCGCAGATATCACACACAAACATACTCTCATCATTGTCATATGTACAGATAGCACATCGCCAAAGCCCTTGCTTAGCAATTTCTTCCTTTGGTTCAGCAGCTTCCTCTTCTTCTGCAGTTAAAAATAACAGGAAAACAAATCATAAACCAAGTTCAAGAGAGACCATTAACCACCACAAGAAAGGTAATGAGAAGATGTTTATACCGTGTTCTTCAATATCTACATCATAGTCATAATCATAAGCATCGTCCTCATCATCAAAACCATCATCATAATCATCGAAATTGGATAATCCTTTACGAGGCATAGTTAGTTTCTGCGAACAAGGGCAAACAGAAATTGTATGTAAGTAAAGTTTCAATTCTGTATAACAAACACATCACCTAGAAAACTTATATAGTCACCATTAATGAATTCAGACAAAGTTGTAAGATAATAAAACCGACATGACTCAGAAGCAAAAGCTCCTACACTTGTTCTGACTTAAACTCATAAATAATCAGAAGTATGAGAATTAAGACATCTTCAGAAGCACTTTACGACGATGATTGTGAGAATCACAAGAATCCAAATCCAAATTCACGAACTTTGAGCTTAACACAGAATATTGATCCAAACACTTACAGAAACTAGTTGTAGAGCAGAATTGATTTACGAAAAACGTTCCTTGGAATCCAACTTCTCCGCCTGTAAATTTTGCTTTGAGTTTGAGGTAATTCGTCGCCTGTTGATGCCGACGATAAAGGGTCCGGATCTGGGTTTGGATCCGGATTCGGGTTTCGATTGGATAGAGTACGAATATGGAAAACACACAAAAACGTAAAGAATTAAGTTGGGCTTTTAACGGGCCTATCTACTGCATCAAGAACCTCTGATATTTTCATGATCCGAACAAATCAAAAGAGACAAAAATAGAAAATTAGTTTTTTTTTTTTTAACACCAGAAAATTAGTTTATAGTTCCAAGATAAAAATTAACATGTTTTTTGGATCGATACAAAATAAATGGTAAAAAAAGTTTGAACTGGTAGTTTCGGACTCAAGTCACTCAACACAAATTTCACTTCACTTTTACATATAAAACCAAAAAGGAACACAATTCTTACATCGATCGATCACCATTCACCACAATTACAAAGCTACAAAACAAAATAATTAACAACATATTTAGGTAATGTGCCACCTTTTGCAACACTACTCTTGTCCCAAACAAAAAGAAAAATAAAGAAGCATGCACGTGCACATGCGACAAACTTGGAGAACCAGTTAAAAACACATACAGTATTAACAAATAAACACAATCTAACTTAGTGATGATAATCCAATAGTCATCGCTTTGTTTGTCGAATTTAAAGAGCTGCACACATCTTCTCTTTCACCTTTACGTAGAATCATTAATTCACACTGCAGATTCCGATCGATTTTGATATTATAAGATTTATGTCTGGAATTTCCCGGTTGAAACAAAACAAACACAAACTATAGACCTCTTGGTCGAAAGTAATTAACTCGAGTGGGATTTCATTTGAAATCGCGGACGTGGAAGGAATTAGGGTTCTTGACAACGATGTCGTACATGTAAACGGAGTTGAACTTGGAGAAGTCTCTTGGTAAGGAGATGAGGTCGATGGAGGATCGTTTGTGGTACTGGATGAGATCGGAGTCTCCACTGAAGTATCTTTCCCACCCGAGGCTCCTTAAGATTTGTTCAAGCGACGAGTGAGAAGAGACGGCTTCACCGGTCGGCAAGTAAACCAAGACATATCTCCGGCCGTTTGTCTGTGTGGCTACTCCTTCGGACTGGTTCGGGTTCTCCACTAGACGTATCACTCCGTTGTTGAACACCCAAACGCCTGACATGGCCTCACAAAATGAGTTTTGTTATGTATATATAAAGAGCGAGAGAGAGGTGTATTTTTGGTGTTTAGTTATGAATTTATGAGAGAGTTTGTGTGTGAGCTCTGTATTTATAGCCATGAGAAGGTGGTTATCTCTTTTTACATTTAAAACAAAAAAAAAAAAAAACGTTTTTGGATATGAGACCAGAGATTTTTATCACAGCCGCCTTTTCAAGCATGAAGTTGAACAATACCTCCAATTTTAAATAGAGCAATTATTTATTTATTTTTACAAAGTGAAATTTCTTTTTAGTTATATTGAAATTTGTCTTTTAGACAAAGTGTGGATTCACAAGCCAAAGAAATATCATTTGCTTGAGATAAATAAATATGGTACATAGAACAATTATATATATAAGAGATGATCGACTTAGGTGATAACTTTTTGGACGTTAATAATAGAACTAGACGAAAAATTGAACGCATAGAAACTAATTTAATTAAACAAGACACATCCTTGCTAAAAACATTATAGAAATTAAATGAAATCATTGCTAAAACATCACTAGTTTATTTGGTTTATATTCTCGATAGTGACCTACAATTTTAAAAACAATGAATGAGGGATTGGGAGAACATAGAAAGCCGACACACTTGAATAAATTATATAAAATTCTGTCTCAATCGTATGGAGAATCTAGATATTGTGGATCATGCTTATACCATTCCTCAATTCTTCTCGATCTAATTAAACAAAAATTGTTAATATTCGATAGGGCTTTTTTTTGCTGGTTAATGGTTGATTGCATCTATAATCAAACTTTTTTAAAATGGGCTTTCTTTGATTTCTTTTTATAGTTTTATGACTTTTACTGATCTAACACCTATGTAAATGTTTTTAAAGCTGTCTATTGTTTTTCAGAATGGCAAAAATACTAAAGATGCTTCAGAAGCTTACTAGTAATTGATAGTTTAGGGTAATAGTATTACCGTAATACTATATATGTATATACGAAACCTTAATTTTAGGGTAACTCTAACAAGTTTGGATCCACCCTACTCAGCATTTTTTGCAAAAATTCAGCATACACAACACATGGAAAGGAGCCCTAATGGTGGGGGCTAATTCATTTCCGAATAGCATATATGTATGAGAGAATCACGTATTCAATTGTCTACGAGACTATTCTCCATCAATTGATAACTATACTTTTCGATTAAATAATAATAGTATTAGTTATCCGAGGCTAGTCGACGTAGTTATTATTTACCAAAAATATATTTTTCTAGCCAGCCAATTTCCGATTTCATTATAGTACATACCGAGAGAGCTTAATACGTCACTGACCGAATCATGCATTCTTAAATCTTATTATTGAAGACATCGTTTTCATATATATTAAAGAGAAATTCGTATTCTGATTACATAAGTAGTAAAACGGAATATGTACTCTAGTTAACGTCTCGTTCAAGGAACGAGTGTTTTATTTCGACATGAATGGAATTAGAACAGCAAGCCGACCACGAGTTCGAACAAACTTTGTGTACGTATTGATCATTTGCATTTTACATACTGATTCTAGAATCATATTAGTTTGACCCATAATCAAGAAGCATAAAAACTCAATATATATATATATATATATATATATATATATATATATATATATATATTTTTTTCCGATCAAATTTGTTCATCTTATAATATTCGGGCAGTGTATAAAGAAGTGGATAAATATATAATATATATATATATATATATCTCAAATACTAATATTAACGGTAAAATTAAAGCCAGGGCCGTCCCTGAACACAGCAGGGTGAAACAATTGTTTTGGGCCCCCAAAATTCTACACATTTTTTCTTTACAAAATAGGCCCCCAAATTTATTTTATTTTTATAAAAAGGCCTCCAATTTTAGAAACTACTATAAAATCTTTAAATTTTTTTAGGCCCCCAAAATTTCAGGACCGGCCCTGACTAAAGCTAAAGATAAAGATGCATGGATGGGCAAATGAGTGTGGAGATGCCAAGAGTTGTTTTTTTTTTCCTCACCAAGAGTTGTTTAATACGGAATTAGAACTAATTAAAGGTATATGTAGATTGGGGAATATATACAAAAGAAGACGCATATTTTTGTTCCATGTTTATTATAAAGTTTTAAAATGTGTTGGATGAAGAAAAGAACATCACTAAACTATATATAAATGATCTGGTGGTAGGGGATGCATTGTTCGGAATAATAAAATGATTATCTGATAATTAACAAAGTCTAACGTTGTCTTTTCATGCCTCCTTCGGACACAAATGTAATCAGTAGATTAGTGATTTAACCAGGTTAGGCTCTTCTTAGTATATGATATTTGACTGATAAAGAATGTGAATTATGCAAATGAATGAAAACACTTTATCAAAAATATACGGTAGATAGAATCATTCATCGTGTATTAAAGGTAAAATTATAAACTATAAACATGTTGCAAAATAAAAGTTTCCATTGTGAATCCTTGTCATGTACACCTGTTAAAAGATTTAGTTACAGAAAACTTATATCACATCACACAAAAGTTATAAACTATCATTGCTGTGGTGGATTCATCATCATTGAAGGGTGTAGCAACTCTTTATCCTCTATGTTAGCAACATACTCAAGCACACGCAAATCAATCAAAGCAGTCCCTACTCCCTCCGCTTGGAGAAGACCGCGAAAACCGTCCACAAGATCCTCCTTACTAGTATCAGGCTTTCGGCAACGCCTTATTACTCTGGAATAAGCATAAACAGGCTGATAGAAACATTTGAAACTGCTACCAGTTGGCTTCACAAAATCAAACAGAGGTTCTGTACCCACTCTCTTCATCAACTCGTCCCAAAAATACTTCCCATAACGCGCAACAAACACAGCTGTCAGGATAATAGAACCAAGCTCCTTGGGCTTTATTGCTTCAGGAAAGAATGACAACTTGTCAGGGATATCAAAAAGTGGTTTCCTCACAGGAGGCTCAAGATCGCAGGTTAATCTCACTGGAGGCTGGGGCTGAGTACGGTATTCAGTAACCTTTTCCTTGTAATATGCGTGATAAGGGTCTGAGGGATGCAAGAAATTGAATACTGCATTTTCCACATCAGCGGCAAATATCCGTCTCTCAAACTCCAACGCACGAGCATCCCCAACTTTGGCAACTACGTATGCCGTTTCCTCGAGACAATTTTTGATCTCTGGAGGTGGTTCAGAGACTGCTTCTTCCAGATTCGGATTGCTTTGGACCGACATGTTTTTTCTACAAGCAGAGATACATTATTAGGATCAGATACGGAGATAATTTTGGAAAATGAATATCAATTCACGAAACAATGAAATCAGATTCTCAGAACTGCAGTTTTTTTTTTGTTTTTGACCTAATATGCGGTTTGAAATAATCTACCAGATCTACTGAAATTGGTTTGGTTAACGTGGAGATCAAGAAGGCAGAGAGACTGAGACAAAGAAGAGGTATCGGAGACGCGAGTAACTACTTAAGGTTTCGGACTTCAGAGAGAGATAAGAAACACCGTACCTCAAGCCGGGAAGGAAACGCCGGGAAAAAGCAGAGAACGAACGATTTCGTGAGCTAAAGCTTTGGAAATCGACGAAGAAGATAACTCCTACCAAGTAATAAACCCTTTTTTATGTTCAACAAGTAATAAACCCTAGGTTAACTCGTGTTCCGGTTTTCCAATGGGCCTTAATTAATTGTGCCTATATTTTGATCCATAATATTTTGTTGGGCCCATAGTTTCACATTCTAATCGTTGCGCCTAATAAGACCCTCGATATCACATTCGGAGGCTTCGAATCTCTCTTTTTTTTTCGTCAGGCTTCGAATCTCATGTGGATTAGTCTGACTGACTGTTCGTTCAAACACGGTTTCCGTGAACTTTGAAGAACACAAAAGCGGCCATCTCTGTCATGGCCATTTCTCAATTGAATAAGCTATATGCATCTGCTTCTCCTACTTCTCAGGAAACAGGTTTCTTTTTCATTCAAATTTGGTTTCGTTTTTTCTTGATTTTGAACGCAATGTTGAAGATTGTTTATGGTCATGTGGTTCGTGACTTTTATCAGGAAGAACGTGTAGATACGCGGGTCAAGCAGTGGTAACTAAAAACCTTCTCTGCTCGAGCTTATTGAATTTGGGCGTTTAGGGTTTGATGGAATTGTTACTTTGGTCCACAGAGAGCTCTTCCTATACGAGTAATAACAGTTGGGAAAAAGAGATCAGAAGGTGTTCGACTCTTGGTCGATGAATACAAAACCAAGCTTAAACCTTATTGCTCCTTTGAAGATTCACTGGTTCGCTCCAATCCTCGAAATGCTCAGTAAGTTTCCTTCTAGTTGAAAGACCCAACTCAGTAAATTTGATTGTTGGTAGCTTTCTCTGGAAACCAATAGTCTTTTATTCACAGGGATGTTAGAGCTCAGGTTGAGGATGAAGAGGTGGCTATGATGAAGCTTATTGGGTCTGATGATTGGGTATTAATAGTAATCTCCTTAGATTTAGTCAATGTCATTGTTTATTCTAGATGGGTCCGTCTGATTGTGAGATTTCATTTTTAGGTTGTGGTGCTTGACGAGAGAGGCCGCGACATTGATTCAGAGGCCATGGCTGAGTTAATAGGGGATGCCGGAAATAGTGTAAGCTTGTTATAGATACCCTCTCTTTGTTGAAATATCACCCATATTCTGCTTGGAAAGTAGTCAAATTGATTGTATGTATTGACTTTTTGGGTTTGAATCTAGTCTCACCTTGGAAAAACTGTCTTTATGAATGAAAAAAGCTTAAGATGGTCACTCAGCCTTTGGTGTGGCTATCTCTGTTTCCAGGGAGCTTCGCGGATCTCGTTTTGTATAGGTGGAGCTTATGGACATGGAAGACAAGTGAGGAAGCGAGCTAATGTGACCATTAGACTTTCCTCCATGGTCCTGAATCATCAGATTGCTCTTGTGGTGCTGATCGAACAGCTTTACAGGTGAAACCATTGTTGCTTCTGGTCTTGCATTCCAATTACACTTTCATATGTTGTAATGGGTTTTCTGTTTTCAGGTCATGGACTATTCTCAAGGGACAAAATTACCATCATTGATGATGCATGAATCTCTACTTTTTGGTTGCTTTATCGTGTACAAAGAAGCTGCATTGCTAAAAAGCTTCTCTGCTGATAGTTGTATGAGAAATTGTATATTGTACGACGGAAGTTTGCTATCCAAATTTGTTTGCTTCTGATCTAGATTAGATTCCTGTCGTCGAGTGGGACTTCTGTTTTTGTTTGTAGCATAACTATTGTTGTGTTCATATAACGATTGAATGAATGCGGAAGCAAATGATCCTTCTCTATATTCCATCTAGTGCAAGGTGATATGATCCCCTTATGGTCTATAAGGCTAAGAAAGATCGAAAAACAAAGATCTTGATTCCATTATTTAGGTATCCATTTCTGATTTATGTTCATTCACCCTCCTTAGTATTGTTTATTCATAAAAAGCATCCTCTAAATCAACTTTCTTGGCCAAAACAGATGACACTAGAGCTGAGACAAGATAGGAACCATTTCGGGCCATGGCTTAGACAATGCGACAAGCGGCTCAGCCTTAGCCATTGCCACACCAAACACAGGCCTCATATCTATGTCTCCTTCTTCTACCTTTTCCAACTCAAAACACTGAACCAATGCCCCAACAGCAAGCGCCACTACCCTCATTCCAAGTCCAGCTGCAGGACACGCCCGCCTTCCAACTCCAAATGGCAGAAACCTAAAACCATCTCTATCGCCAACAAACCCTTCAAATCTCTCCGGCTTGAAAACATCAGCTTCTTCCCAAAGCTCACCGTCCCTATGAACAGCCCAAGCATTCACCAATAACATCGTGTTTTCAGGAATCTCGTAGTTGTCTAAGTTGAATCTCTTGGATGAGCAGTGAGGAAGCAAGAGTGGAGCTGCAGGATATAGCCTAAGCGTCTCATAGATGACACATCGGAGATAAGGTAAGCTCGAGAGATCCGAGTCTTGTATAAGCCCTTTGTGTTTAACATTAGATTTAATTTCTTCTCTGAGCTTCTCAAGCTTATCTGGATGGTTCAGTAAAAGCGACATTGCCCATTCCATTGCCACAGGTGAAGTATCCGTTCCGCCGTTGAACATTAGTACTACGATTCCTTTGATAACATCATCTGCGTAAAATTCAGGTTCTGATTCTTGAAGCTTCAAGAATTTCTCTACTAGTGAACCAGTGGAATCAAATTTCTTCATTCGAATGTCATCAATGAGACGCTGAAGATACTCATCTCTCATCCTCTGCATCTCAATCACTCTCTTCTCCAGACCTTTGTACCCAATCCACCTCAAGACTGGGAAATAATCGCAGACATTCATCGACATGCTCGAGAAAAACCTCAATTTGAAATCATCCAAGAACCTCTTCTCTGATTCCGGATCGCTCTCTTCGACCCCACGATTCCCAGACACTAATCTAAGCATGACATGAGCTGTGAGAAGAGTGAATTGATACTTGAGATCCACTCTCCGAGAGTCACGGGATAATCTGAAGAGATTCGAACAGAGAGTGGACACTTCTTCATTTCGTATGTAAGCATTCTTCTGTAGGCTGACGGAGGAGAAGACCTCGAGAGTGGAGAGACGTCGGAGAGTTCGCCAGAGATCGCCATAAGGAGCAAATCCGAAGTTTTTGTAGCCGTAGCTGAAGTGATCAGAGGTGATGGTCTTGGGACGATTAGCAAGGGTTGTGTCGTGATTGGTGAAGCATTTTTCGATGGAATCTGGAGAAGAAAGGGTCAAAACGGCACGGCACCCGAATTTGAGGAACAGAACTGGTCCGTAGTTTGAAGAGAGATGATGTAGAGCTTGTGGTAAAGGATACTTCTTGATGAGGTGAAGATGACCGATGATCGGAAGTGGCGTAGGGCTTGGAGGTAATTTAAAGTTTAGGCTCCACAGGAACTTCTTGGTGATGAAGAAGATCAAAGTAGCTGTGAGGAAGAAGAAGAAGATGAACCAGAGATTTTCCATTTTCCTTTTTTGGTCAGTCTCGTAAACTATCAGAAGAAGAAAAAATAGAACCAAAAACTTTCCGTTGACCAAACCGTTTTGGTCTCACGACTCTCAACATTAATCAACTAGAACCTCTATAACTCTATTTAACTCCGTTAATTACCGTAGAATTTTTGTCTATTCTTAAACAGTGTCGTTTTATTCTCAATCTTGTGTTAATGATTTTGAAAAAACTTCTAGACTTTATAAATTCTTGTGGTCGTGGATTTAGTTTTTTATATAAATAAAGACAATTTTAGTTAATCCCTAGTTATTATGGAATTCCATATCAAAAGGATTATGATTTACTTAATCTTTCATGATTATATGGATTTTCAAATAAATAGGGTTAGCTAAAATTCTTTCTTATATATCAACTAGAAAATCGGGAAAAAAATTATAGGAAGTTGAAGTTTATATCAAAATCATTTATACATAACACAAGCTTTTGAGTTTTGACTAAAAATAAAATGAATAAAACAGACTAGCAGTGATTAATTAACATAAGATTTTGTTTGGACATTTAGAAATCTATTCTAATCAACCTTTATAGGACTTTATCTTTGTCAAAATGGGAATTTAGTTTTTAGATTAAATAAGATATGTTATAGTGATATTTGTCAATTACTGAATATTAAAATAATGATATAAAATTGAAAAATTTACCTTAATCTTTCATATTTTCCCAGTGAAAAGTTTTTACTAAATTTATCTCCAAACAAAATTGGACCCTATTTAAGAAAGAGATCCCTTTAAGAAACATTGGTATCATATTTCACATTTATCTATTTCCTTTGTCTTTTGTGTATTTCCTTGGTCATTTTTTTTAATCTTGGGTATCCTTTTGTCTGTGTGTTTCAACTCTGCATTATTCAATTTTTTCGGTGAAAAATGACTTCTTTAGGGTTCCGCTTCTTCGCTCTGGTCTTGCTTTTAGCAAGAGAAACTTCATCTTCCAGTGTCAATTATCCATCCTCCATGGTCATTTGGCAAAATTTTCCGGTAGAGACCGTTGTTGCATCACATATGCAAATAGCTGTCACAATTAATTCTACAGCAGGTAATTATTAGTCGAACTTCTCTCTCTTTTTCTTTTTAAATCTAGTTATATGTTTTTTTTTGTATATATTGTTTAATTACTTGGATTTCTTTAAGAAAGGTTCTCAAAAGTTTCATACAAGACTACATAAATATACTGGTTCTCCTAGAGAAACACTCACATCGAAAAGATACAATTTTCCTTTGAAATTCAGGTATAAATCGCACGTTTTCTTTTTTGATTGTATTTGTATGTAATATGTCTACCGGTTGATTTGTTGCATTTAAAAGACACGTGTTCTCCCGTTGAATCAACTTACGGTTCATTGATGATGATATAAAATGCAACAGGAAGAAAAATTTTGTAGCTCTTGAAAATGCAAACAAAGCTACATTTGATTGCCAAGTTGAACTTCCATTTATAGGGTATGCATGATTCTTACCTTTACATGTTTGCAGTGAATACATGTATATGCATAATCCTGCTTTAATTTGACTCTCATGAATATATGTTATATTGAAGACATACAAAGCCATGGATAGAGCTTGACACAGGCAATATCTACTGCATTTTCTTCCCATACTCAAAAACCATTGAACCTCCTCATCATGCTTTAGTACTCAAAGAAGTACCTCATGTTTCGGCACCTTCATTTGCACTTCTTCTCGGAAGGCTTTCTGTGTCAGGAACAAGAAAAGTATTGTTTTATTTTGTTTTTGTATTTATGAAAAAGTACTACTATAAAAGTGTGACTGATCATTTGGAGTTCTTACCAGTAATTTATGGTGCAGATGATGAACATAACTTCGGAGGTTAGCAACGTCATCATATCCATACTTGAAAACTCCGGTAATCTACTTGTATATTCAAATATATCTATTACGCTTTTGTCAAGTCGTGTTTACTAGGAAATTATGCCTAGGTGATAGCTATTTAAAATGATTGCTGCTATTTCAGATGTTCAAATTCACTGGCGCAAAAAAGATTACTTATCGATGAGCTTGTTGGAAGATTTTGATATAGCAGAGTCTAAGGTGAGTGAATTCCTTACTTGAAAAGTTGAAACCTTGCTTGTGAACTAGTTAAGGTAACGCATATATACCGTTGTTTATGACCAGGTTAAGGAACATAGCGTAAACGATCAAATAATTGTCACACTCTCAGCAGATCATCGCGTAAGAATGATTATCCGTTATAAAATGGATGAATCGCATATACCAATGATCAAAAACTTGGTGATCCGCGCTTTCGTCATTGGCATCCAAATAATCGTAATAATCATCAATATAATAATGTTTGTTAAAATTATTAAAGCCGCTGACAGGGCTAATATAAAGGAAAACGACACGACCAATTCAGATGAGTATGACTCCATTGACTTGAAAACGAGTATCTGTGTCATTAAAAAATCGATCTGTGAAATAGAAAAAATAATAGACGAAGCAAGGTAAGGGACTAAGGATGGTCGCATCATTGTTACTTGTTAGCAGCATAGTAATAAATTTTTTTTAAAAAAAGATAATTAATTTCCATTTTGACTATCCATGGAACTTTTGCTAATTGTATATAGCAGTCTTAGCAGATCATGAATATCTTCACCAGAAAAAAAAAACAAAAAAAAAAGACTCTTCTTGTACATATTTTTTTGGTACGCTTTGAAAAGAGTAATTCGAAAGACTTTTTAGACTAGTAAATCAGTAATAACAAACATCTTTATCATTACTCGAATTAAACATCAACAGATAATCAAGGCGAGAAGTTGTCATCACAACCTCCATTGCAATCGACTTTACTCTTCTCCTTATTGCTCAACAAAAACACGAAGTCGAGGTTATAAAGAACAGGGATTATCAAAGCAGAGCTCAAGAACACAAGCACAGGCCCAAAGATCCACAGCATCAAAGGCAAGCCCATGTAGAACAGCCTATTACCTACCGTATTGAGCAAGAAAGCTTTCTCGAGTAGTTCAGAGACATACTCGGGAGTCACAAAGCTTCCAATTTCGCCGAAACCATCAGAAAAAGGTTCTTGAGGAGCGTTAATAAGGATGTTGACTTGGTTGATGAAGCGAATGGAGAGAGAATGAGAGAAGAAGGCGAAGAGGAAGATTGTGAGGATGGTTACGTATTTGAGTGCGACAGTGAAGTCACCATGAGCTCCGTATACGGCGTCGTTTAAAGGTTTCTTGATGCTATAAGTACTGCTTAAAACGGCAGCGAGGCCTGCGCAGAGGAGGATGCAAGTGGTTGCCATTAACGTCCCTCCCATTATCGTGTTTCGTAGTGTTTGTACCGCTAAGATGTTCTTCTTCTCGTTGTCCTGACCAAAGGCACGATCAAATAATGTTACTATTTAAGAAGTATATGTTTGTTGTGTACAGATATTTTGACATTGTATGATTTATAGTCTGTTATAGGCCAAATATGCATATGCATGCAAGCAATTTTTATTGTATCCATACGGACTTGATAAAATTTTGGACCGACACTTTTCATAGAAAATTTGCAGTTAATAAACACTATGGTATGTTCAATGAAGCTTACTTTCCACCAGCTCGACTAATATGATGATTACGACTTACCAATCACTTAACACAAGATTATTTCGGGATATCATTTTTGAGTAATATAACTACCTTCATGATGGCTGCTACCCAAGATCGACGGGCGCGGGAATTAGTCCCAACAATGGTGCAGAAAGGATCGGTTTGAACCTTATACCACAAGTAGATGTGGTAACAAAACATCATAAGTAGAGCACATGGCACAAGAACCGCATCTAAGTACCATTTCTCCCACTCCATTTGATCTCTCTTTTTCTATGTATATAATCTTCTCTTTCTTTCTTGCTCTTGTTGTCCAAAGCTCTAAGAATGTTGGTTTATGTTTTTTTATGGCTCTTTGTCTCCATATATTTATACTGAAACTCCTTTTGCTTGTTAAAATCTTTGTTCCACAATTTGCCCCTTAGAATTACAAGGGCCACTATTTCTTTTTGGTTGGTTTTCACTAATTTCTTATGAATATAATTAAATGTTAATGCTTTTCTTCTCTCCTTTAAATCTCTCTTTATGACTTATTAGTGTTCACTTCTGTACCCCACTTTGTGAGATAATTTGGAATTTACGTTTCGACCCCATATTTATTTAGTTACTAAACATTTGGCCATACTCTAAATTAAGGTTAATGAACACTTGTCCCCTTTTATACATCCTTTTTTGAATTTTGTCCCTCATTGCCTGTATATTCCCACATGTGATATCTTAATGTCCGTATATATAGAAAAAAGAGACAAGACTTAGATTAGATGGTTTTGGAACATGTCACAAAGATGATAACAGAATATAACATTTGTTGTAGACGATGCTATGTACACATGTTACACTATGACCTAACTTATCGAGTTATCTCCACGTCATTACGTTACTAGTCTTCTTCAGTCTAGTGCAATTTTGGTTTTTATTACTCACTGATGATTTTACATTGACTATGGTTTAGATAAACGTTTACTATCTACGTATTTTTTATTATTTGGTCATCTATCCTTAGGATCCTCTATCTCGATCCATCGTGGAATAGGTGCACTTATATTTTTATAAAATTAATGACAAAATTGATTAAATGAAAGAAATTTAAAGTAACTTTTAAAGTTTCTTGAACATGAGTCAGACCCAATTTACTAATGGTTGGTTCATTTCTTGTATTTAAAGAAAAATCGTGCTTATTGAGATTAAACACCCTTTGTCCTTCTGTTTCTTTATTCATCTACGACTACTTTTATACCTTTTTGCTCACACTATTTTTATTAAGATAATATGTGATAATATACACTTAATTAAATATGTAGGACTCTACAAATAGAGATGAAGTAACATGCAAATTATGTATTAAATATGTGCATGCTTACACCAAAGTCCAAACACATAATAGTTATAAATATATATGTTCAGTTGAGAGATATGGACAAACTACTTGAGTTTCAGGTTTAGCCTTTAAAGGTTTTTAAAACAAAGCAGCCGTAATGAATTATCAACTAAACCCTTAACTAATAGTATCTGGTTTTTTGAATAAGGACAGATCAAACGTAGTTGGAAGCGTAAATTTGAACCTCTAAGAGCTCAATTCAACTCTATGCGTACAATTTATTTGAGTTTGGTCTAGTGATTTTATTTGGTCTGCGGTAAACTTTTGCCAAAATGCTCACACCATATATACAAAGTTATAATTAAGATCAATTCATTTTCTTCGAATAAAGAAAGTAACCTACATGACCCCAAGAATAAAATCAGGGAATGTTCCAATAAATCTTGAGGATCCTTCTTGATAAAATTGTAGTATAATTTAAAAATGGGAATTAAAACCTGCTGGCCAGAATAGATGCTCATGGGATAGGCCTACTCATGGAGAAACAATTTATAAGATTATTATAATATTATTGAACTATCTTGTAATTTTCCATGTGATCTATTACCTAACCGTATTTCTAAATGGGTGTTAATTTGTGATTCATGCATGAATCGACATATCTATCGGATGCTTATAGTATATATTCGCACGCTATATCTTGACATTTACTTTTAAAGTTATACGACTCCTCGACCTCATTTAGTAATGAGAAATCTAATTAATGTATCATTTACTGTTCAAAAACTTAGAAAAATTGCTACAAAACATAAATCTTTCCAAATGTGCCATAATGGTGGACAACATTTCTTGTCTACCAAAATTTTTGTATGTCGTTTCGAATTATTGTCCACCAAAAAATTGTTGTTTCAAAGGTGGACAAAATTTGATATTTCCAATCTGTTGTTTAAAAGGTGGACAACATTTTTTGTCTACCAAAAATTTTCGTTTCAAAGTCTTGTCCACTATTATGGCATATTTTGAAAGACAAATGTTTTGTGGTAATTTCTGTAAATTTTGCTACAGTATATGACACATTACACCAAAATCCCTTTAGTAATCCATCCGCCAAGTACATATATATACTATAAAACCAGAATACAGTATTTGTGCCAAAAAAATAGAAGAAAAAAAACAGAATATATTTACATACAAATACACAATTCATTTCAACGTAGATTTGTTTTGTTTTTAATTAAGACGCTCAGAAAGATGTGAAATTTAAAATCTGATTATTACAATATGGTCATGCTTGTTGTTGCTATTTTCTTTATATTTAATTTCGGTAAAAGAAATTAATATATAGCCTCTAGAAAAATTAGAAATTGTCATATAATTACTTTAAAGAAAAAAAAAGTAAACAAAAAACAATATCTTTCCACGACACTAACAAACAAAATTAGACCCCAATTTATAGTGTAACTAATAAAGAAATTTAAAAATACCCTTATCGTGCCAATACTTAAATTTAACACATACGTAATTGAATATAGTATGTGCACACTATAAGGAAACAACAATTCAAGCAGTATTCATGGCCTTAACCAATCGTTTAAAGATTTGTCTTCTTTGGGGACAAATTAAGAAAAAGAAAGAGAGAGGGTGGTGGCTGCGTGCGACCCAATAACTAACAACAACACTATGGAAAAGAAATCTCTAGAGATCGAAAAGAAATGAAGCACTCACATGTCTTAATTTTTACACGATTACTTTAATTATGATTTATTAACTTATTAAACAGCTCATCTTATCTAATAAGTATAATAACAAATAAGGAAGCTCTCGTCAGCAAATAGAAAATGTGAGGTCCACATTCGACCATATTTTAGTGTATAAACTTGAAAACCTAACCTACACGCACAAAGCCCTAGTGCTCTAACCTACCCAAATCTTTCGTATAAGTATAAAATTATATTGATTTGTGTATAAATAGTTTTGAGTTCATCGTTCATTTTAATAGAAATTTAATTACATTTTTTTCTTAAGAATTGATTTGTTTCTATACGATTATTCATCTGCTTGCTTACTATTAAAAATTCTATTTTACATTTGTAAATTTAAGAGGTGATTATTTTTATTTGTCAGCGTAAAGATGTGATTAAGATTTCTGTGTGTGTGTGTTAAATATGAACCAAATGAAAGAGTACTGTGTTTATATGCTATTATGATATGGTTTTTCGTTTATAATATTTTTGAATCAGAGTAACTAGTTACAAACAATATAATGGGTGTCTATATTAAAGATTATAAAAAGTTGTGTGTTTATCAAAATTCTTTTAATACCAAATGAAAGAGTACTGTGTTTATATGCTATTATGATGTGGTTTTTCGTTTATAATATTTTTGAATCAGAGTAACTAGTTACAAAAAAATATAATGGGTCTATATTAAAGATTATAAAAAGTTGTGTGTTTATCAAAATTCTTTTAATAAGTAGACAAAATTTTAAAGGACAACTTGTTTTCTACCAAATGAATTAAGGTTTTGAGTGGCGGTGTCGTTATAAAAAACTTTATCTTGTTTTCTTTTAGTCTACCGTCTTAAGTTTCTTGTCTGTCAGTTTTGAATTATTTTAAGTGCGAATGGTGATAATAAAACTTTATTCAACTTGCATAAGTTTAGACCTATGCCGTCAAAAAAAAAAGTTTAGACCTATATCATATCAAACATTGTAACCCTCAATAACTAGATAAAGTGCAATGTAGGTCTT